GAACTCTCTGGACACTGTAGGTCATGTTACAAACACTTACCTGTCCCACTGTCCAATGCATGGTCCACATGCGTTGGCCAGGACCACCACTCCAACATCACCAAGGATCTTTGACTACAGGAAGACACAAACACATCTGAGCTTATATTATCAGCGTGGCGGAGGTGCAACTCTCTGCCTTATTTAGTGCTCAAACACTCACGTATCCATCCCTCTCAATGGTGGCACGAATCTGCTCGGAGCCAGGGGGTGACCGTGACCTGAGCTTTGCACGTCAGGCCTTTATCCAGAGCCTGCTTGGCCACAGAGGTGGCGCGGCACATGTCCTCGTAGCTGGAGTTGGTACAGCTGGCGATCAGACCTAAAACAGGGGGAAAGGAGCCAAAACCGGATGTCAGAGAGCATCTTGCTGAAGACGCTTTCGCCCACATTCTGACATGTAGCAGGAATAAGACCAAAAACTGTGCAGCCTGTCCACCGCTGGTCACTTCTTACCAACTTTCACCTCCAGCGGCCAGCCGTTCTTTGCAGCAACAGCACCTATATTTCAGACACTGGGTGAGCCAGGTCAGGGGTGAAGGGCCCGTTAATGTGAGGCTTCAGCTAGAAAAAGAAGAACACAACGTTGACGTTACTCGAGTCATTCTCAAACAAACCTCTCTCTCTGTAATTAAAGCAGGCAAGTGAACCTCTCACTTGTGCCGTTCAGGCATGTTTAATTATAAATGGTGCCATGTGTATTTGGAGATGTAGAAGAAAACTGAGAGCATTCGGATAGATCTCTTTCTTCCAGCTTTGGTACCTGACGCTCAGAGGAGTCATATTCCCACCCAGATCTGGATCTAAGGTCCTACAACTTTCCTGACTTTATAGAACTAAAAGGAAAGCTCAAATGTTCTGTGGTCAGAATAGATGAAAATGGTATAAACTGTCTGGTTTCTAGCGGGCTACAAAAACACTTTCTAATGCAAATCCACATTCAGGTTTGCTCATAAATCACCAGAGCAGAGACTTTTATTTCCTGTCACTCTCTGGACGCGCTACACGCTTTAAAGCACCCAATGAAGGCAGAGAGAAAAGTGCAGACCTCGTCCAGATTGAGCTTGATGAGCTCGTCATACTCGCAGCCTTCATCTGGCACCAACAAGTCGGAGAATTCATCAGACAGGGCAGCGATCTCTGGGAAGGCACAAGAGGAGTGTTGAGACACTAACAAGACACCAAGCTTTCATTTATACCAGGCGGGTTTTCCATGAAGATAGGCACCGACATACACGCAGTTTAGAATTCCAGAACAGATATCTTCTGATTACTCGCATCTGGCTTTCATTTGTAAGGAGGTGAAATGGTTTATAGGTGCAGATCTAATGCAAACATCTATGATTTTGTGCAGTTTGGGTTTCTCTGACAGTTGACGCAGGACGGATGGAACAGATACAGTTTGATGGAGGGAGATGAGAAGTGACAGTGATCCTGGCCCAGATGGAACTTCAGGACATTACCTACTTCATTTAAAACAAAAGCTTTTTGTGTTTATCGTCTATGGATTGTACAATGGTATTTTCTTCCCTCGTCTCTACTCAAAGTAATACGTTTTTACTTTAATTAATATTGGATGACCAAAAGCCTGAACATGCGTTCACGTCCCGTCTTCTCCAGGTACGTCTTCATGCGGTGGTTGTAGGGAAACACAGAGGTCGTGGCTCCAATCTCTGCTCCCATGTTGCAAATGGTGGCCATACCTGCACACAATGAAAACACATATGAGACAAACAGCTATGAAGAAAAATAAAAAAACACTTTTTTTTTTTTTTTTAACTGACCAGTGCAGGAAATGGAGTCAACTCCTGGTCCGTGGTATTCTACGATGGCTCCAGTGCCGCCCTTCACCGTCAGGATGCCAGCCACCTTCAGGATGACATCCTTAGGAGACGTCCAGCCTGAGAGAGTACCGGTCAACTTCACACCGATCACCTTTTAAGGAAGAGACGGGTGAATTAATCCTGGGAAGAAAGTTCAGAGGCAGAAAGAAACACAACTACGGTTGAGAAAGAAAACACAGGAAAAGTGTGACTGGAAACAAAAGTCAAAAGACGAGACGGTCAACAGAATGTGTGCAACATATTGTATTCCGCTCAAATTGGGGCACTTGAGCTCCCAGACGATTCCTGCCATGACATCCACAGCGTCTGCTCCTCCGACGCCAATGCAGATGGAACCGAGTCCGCCGCCGTTTGGTGTGTGGGAATCTGTGCCAATGAGCATCACTCCTGGGTAGGCGTAATTCTCCAGGATGATCAGTTTTTGTGCGAAATCGGAACGTTGGCGTGCTAAAATTACAGTAGCTTGTCGTTTTCTAGGCACTGCATCCAAACTTCAGTGGTAATACCTGATGGATGATTCCAGAGCCCGGTTTCCAGAAGCCAACTCCATATTTTGCCCCAGCGCTGGACAGGAAGTCGTAGACCTCGTGGTTGACTTCCTGGGATGAGAACCATGATGAAAAAGTGAACAAGTGATCACTTTTGAGAGATTAGCAGAATTACGGTAAACAAATAGGATCCCTCACCTTCGCTCTGGCCAGATCCTTCACCCCTCCGGTCTGAGCCTCGATCAGATGGTCACACTGAATGGTGGAGGGCATGGCCACCTTGGACAGGCCTCTGCTGATGAACTGGAGCATCGCCATCTGGGCCGTGGCGTCCTGCATGGCCACGCGGTCGGGACGTAGCCGCAGGTAGGTGACCGTACACGATCTTCTCCGACAGGGTGAGCGGCCGGTTGAGCCTGGACAGAAAAATTAAACAACATTCTATTTGTAGTAAGATGCTGCTGCAACATTAGAGGAAGATTCAGCAAGGAACCGGTCAGACGATGACAGCTACAACATAAACACAAATAAATAAATTAGCTAAAGAAGAATACAAGTGAGAAGATAAACCGAAGGTCCGGCTGACAGACGAGAGTTGGCGAAGGCTACAAATACGATGGAAAACTGTGATAAAGGTCAAACACTCACTCACACAGATAAGGGAGCGTTTTGGGAGAAACAGTGATGTGAGCCACAGCAAACAAAAGAGGAAGATTAGGAGGCCGCTGACCTTTTTCGCACAATGTCAATGTTGGATTGGAGCCTCTCGTAGTTGACGAAGGCGCTGGGCTCAAAGTGGCTCATGGACACTTGGGCTTTGGCTCTGTAAGCTGCCGATACATGCAGGCGCCGTGCACCATGACCCAGAGCCAGCTGCAGACAAACATGCAAGTGATCACGGAGCCGCAGACAAAAACAGACACACTGACACCGTTTGGCTGCTGGGCCTACATGTCAAACAAAATGGTGCATTAAAAACAGTAAAATTATAATATATGGTGGATGGTTTATGAATGATTTAACTGTTCAGAGTAACAGCCAGCAGGAAGAAACTGTTCTTAAATAACATTAAACATCTTAGATGATGAAGTTATCAAAGAAGACACACAAGAGAACAAAATGTCAAACAGCTGAAGGTCTTTAATGACCCGACAGACAGACAGACAATGTGTGCTAAAGATTAGCTGTCATTCAGTGAAAGAACTGACAGTGAGCAGCTGAACCCACAACCATTAATCACTTGACTTTTGGTGTCAAGTAGCTAGCTGTCAATCAATTAATAGGCAAATTCAAGAGTTAATACATCAATAGGAATTCTAATTGTGGGTTCAGACAGCAATCACACTTAAACATAAACTGGGCAATCTATTACTTATTAATGGCGTAAATCTTAATCTAATGTGGTATTATTAGGAGTTGGAATGCACAGATCTTTTTTATACCACCAACGTGAGACTACAGAGCATTTACTGGCTCATGTTTCTCCAACCCTTAACAATGCCAGCAACAAAAAGAAATGACATCTGTTCATGTCGTGAACTAAAAGACAACATAGGATTTTTTAATCTACTAAGCCTACATACATTGTTGTTTGTGTCTGTATCAGAACACGGTGTTCTGGTTATCTGCCATCAACGTGAGCTCGAATAGACCTCAACTAGAGCTCACTTTGGGTTCAGATATTAAGAGTTTAAACACCTGTTGGTCTGTTATTATTAGATCAGATGTAAATATCTTTACAGCACACTGTTGTCATTGGACATATCAGGGACACACACCCTGTTAACTTTACAACAGAAGGAATTAACTAGTTTCTCTTGGAGTAATAGCTAAAAAAAAATGTGCAAGACTGTGTGTGCTGTATTACTTTTATTAAATATGTTTTCTATTTTTCTTACACGCTGCTCTACTGTGTGTATGCTGGGAGCTCTCACCTTGTGGTTAACCTTGCTATTAAACACCAAACTCCACGTCTAGTGATAACCTGGACATGTTAATTCAAGGACTGGTTAAATCGGTAATGAGTCTCTGGTAAAGACATGTGTTTTATTAAGCCAGTGACAAACTAAAGATGCGTTCAGTGCAGTCAGGACACGATGACCTGACCAGTGAGCCTGTGACCGGGCCACAGTTTATTTATCCTCAGCAACTGCTCTTAGAACTATAAAATGTAATTTTAACATTGCAATAGATGTATTAAATGCAACATGGTAAGTGACATATTTCACTGGTTTTTAATTATGGTACAATTAGCCCATTTTCGTCTCTTACCTGGAGCCGGGCGACGGTGAGACAGTAGGTTGCCATTTCGTTCACTGACAAAGATGTGTCGCGCAGTTGTGACGTCATAGCTTTTTAAACTGCGGTCTCGCAAGTCCTTGAAGGACACATGTTTACGATAGTTTTTGATAGTTGTTGAATAAATGTAATCTAAACTTAGATTTATCTGTCTCCATTTTATGTATTTTATTTTTTACAACATTTTTTTAATTCAATTTCACCCATACAAGATCGAATTTTAGCGTTAATGTATGATTTACCTTTATAAAACTGAAAGGATGAGGACCCTTTTTAATTATTTTTGGAGACGCTAGGTGGCGGTAATGCAACTCCTCATCCAAAGTTTACAGGTCAAAGGTCACTGTTGAACCAAGTCAGCAGCGCTCGCCTTACGTTAGCCGACAATGGCTAAACATCACCCAGATTTGATCTTTTGCAGAAAACAAGCCGGTGTCGGTATGTGTGAACTTATTTAATATCACAAGTTTGCTAACACTGTTCGTTGTTTATTGAAACGCAGCTGGGTGTCTGTGTTTTATGTTTAGCGCGAGATAACGTTAGCTGCCATGCTAACGGTAAGAGCATGGATTTCATTGAACGAATGTTAGCCATGGTGTTAGCTTAGAAACGTCTACACGTTTATGTCTTCGGGATGACTAATGTTACAATTTCACTTAAAATGACTTCAGTGTATTTAGTAATGGGTTTTACTCCAAGTATAAGGAAGTTAAGCTATTCACGCTAATCTAGCAAAGCGATATGAATCAACTGTTAGCATCACTCACTGGCTCTGACTGCTTTTGTTTTTATTCCTCAGCCATCGGGAGACTCTGTGAGAAATGTAAGTGTTTCCTTCTGTGGTATCACAAATTAAACGTTACGTGTTTTCATTTGAGCTCGTAATTGTTTGTCTGCTGTCTTAAGTCTTACTCGTTTTGTTCACTTTTGCATCTGTAACAGTAGCGTCAGTCCTGTAGGTTCATGTCTTGTTCAATAGGCCCTTTTCAGAGCAGCTCTTTTGACGTGTAATTGCAGGGTAAACACAGGTGAGATTACATAATGCATAATTATAGCCCTGTTTCATTTAGGTGGTCTGGGTTTCTGGTATTGTGCATGCTGGCTCACTGTAGTGGCTGTGACACTAAATAGAATGCGACCTTAATCAGTTACACCTGTGTTTACCCTGCAATTACATGTGAAAATGGCTGCTGTGAAAAAGGGGGCCTATGTCATACTAATCTTCTGTATTAATTTACTTACTTCCACTGTGTTAATAAACCTTTGCATTTATACAATAAATATAATTTTAAACTATTGATTAATGAATCAACCAGTAATGGGGAAAGTATGTGGCTGCTGTTTATTGACACACAATGTGACTTATGGTCGAGTGAAGATTTATTTCAAAACACCGTTTAGAACTTTTTCAGCAAACTCATTTATTCCCAACATTGTTTCAAAGTTCATTTAGTTGCTATGATGTTTCAACTATGGCTCTGTTAAACGACACATTTTCCTATATACCTATTTTCTCAATCAATCCTCTCATCGGTCTCGTTCCCCGTCCTTTCAGGCGATGGCAAATGTGTCATCTGTGATTCCTATGTGAGGCCGTGCACGCTGGTGCGCATCTGTGACGAGTGCAACTACGGCTCCTATCAGGGACGCTGTGTCATCTGCGGAGGGCCGGGAGTTTCTGACGCTTACTACTGTAAAGAGTGCACCATCCAGGAGAAAGATGTGAGTCCCTTTTTATTATCCGTCACTGAAAAGAGACCGTATAAGGATTGAACCGGGCCATGTTCATGAGATTTTTGTTATCTGGCATAGCTGATTAACGAGCCTAAAGGAGATAAACAGCACTTTAAAAATGAACCCCAAATACAATTTTGTCTAGCTTCTTTTGAGAGGAAAGCATTACTCAACCGGGCTCTTTCTGTTTCCCTTTACAGCGAGATGGCTGCCCTAAGATTGTGAATTTGGGCAGCTCTAAAACTGATCTGTTTTATGAAAGGAAGAAGTATGGCTTCAAGAAGAGGTGAAGACACCACGGCCTCAGTGCTTGATTTTAGTTTTTCAGCTTTTGCAGATTTTCTTTAAAACCTCAAACATTTTTTGACTTGTCAATAAAACTTTGTTTTGTATTCATTCTTGTTCCTGTTTTGATTGATGAGTCTGCCTATGCTCGCACAGTGCTTGATATTAATAGTCACTAAACATCTGGCTACTCTGTCACTGAAACATTATGTATTGACCAACAACATACAAACAAAACATCAATGGGTTCACAATGAACATTTAAATATATTTTGATATTCAACCAGGCTTAGCCAGTGGGATTCTGTTTAAGGTTTTTGTCATCTTACTGCACGGATAACAGAATTGATTTGTATTGCTTTGTTTTATCTCATTGCTAAGAATCAACGAACAAGAAGATTAAGCTGCCAAAATTCTTATGTTGACAAATGTATACAACACATTTTGGCACAGCTACGGAATAAAAATGGGAAACTGTTTTCCATCATGACAGAGTGGAGACTTAGTGTATTAGGTTGCTTTAATATGACAATCAATTTCTTCAGGGATGCTGAATGAGCTGGTTTCAGTTTAACGCACTGAGTATCACTTTTCTCCATAAACTCCCTCCACCAGATGGCAGTGTTTCAGTCTTCTGAACCATCAGATTCTCCAGTCTCCACAGTATCAGATTCATTTGATTAATTTCATTGAGTGAAGACCCGGTTTAGTTAGACATGACAATATAGTGCCTTTTTAAAAAAAACCTTAAGATGAAAAAGCATCAAGCTCAACTGTTTTACTCGTTTTTTTGAAGACATTATGGTGAAAATATGGGTACCAGAATATAATTTCTATGTGCATTATATTTAATTAAATTGTATATACAAAGTAGTTATTTATATTTTTAGTACCCCTTCTTTCAGTTTGGACTTCACTGTGATTTATTTAGATCAGACTTCAGTCTTCTAAATGAATTGTTCGCTGCTAGAACCTAAAGAAACACCCCCGTAAGAAAATAACTTAACGCTGTCGGACTTCCTCAACAAAGCTTTATTTATACACACTGTATATACAAGACACAAAAGGTAGTCTTACTCAAAATGCCATGAAGTGCCTTCACAAGAAACACAGACAGAACCAGGAAGGTAATAAATCGGCCTGTTTCAGATGGAAGGCAGATACAAGCTTTATTAAAGCAGAAAGACTTTAAAAAAAAAAAAAAAAAAGTACAGATAAATATGACTGTCCTGAGTTTAAGTTTTACTCCACAAGAAAGATTGCCCTTTGTTAACTTCAACAAAAAAAACATGTACTAATAAAGATGCTTTTACTGCAGTTAAAAAACTAATAGTTTACTTTTGTATTACTCCTTGAATTATGTCACACCTGGGAACCCCTTTCCAAAACAGACCATAATATTTAATCTATTCAGTTACAAGCACACTAACAGAAGAACATAGCTTTCCGTTTGTCAAGAATATGAGTGTAAAATCTGTTAAGTCACAATTTTAACTACACATGTTACTACTGTTACACAATACGCCCCCCTGTAAACTGGCAAACTGTGCACGGCCTTCAAATGGTTTGATGCCCCCAATACAGCACTACTGTGTTTGTATAAAAAAAAAAAAATAAAAATTATATATATATATATTTTGGCAACAGACGCTGCCATCTTTACACACCTCAGACAGAAAATAAAAAGTAGTTCACAAACAAATAAGAAGCTGGGTGATAAAGGCTGATAAATGCATCTACTAACATACTAAAACATGTTGATACAATCTAAATGCACAGTCTCCCCAAATCCAAAAGGTTTTGAGTTCATAGTTGTGAGTATTTCAAACAACCCATTGTGAATAACGGGAAAGAACGAGCTCGATCACTTCAACCGATGATGTGGAACTGTGGGAGTTTTCAGGCTTAACGAGGGAAACATTTTGCCTCCAGCTGCCATTAATAAGGCACTGATGAGAGTCCCGTTAGCATCAGGCAGCTTGCCTTTAACACATCAAACACTCGGCCGTTACCAACGCACATGTCCGCTCATTGGCGCGAGACGGTAAGCTCTTACATTTCAGGAATTCACTTGAAATCTATCCAAAGCTTAAGTTTTTCAAAAACTTGACTTGCAGTGTAACTGAGTTTTTAATGTCCAATGCAATGAATGCAACATGATGGAGGGGAACATTTTTTTAAAAAGTATAATATGAGGTTACAACTATTTACAGTACACACGAGTGGATTCTACACATAACGTATGAAAATTTAGTGACGTAAATGGACGAGTCAGTATTGACAACCTGCAGGCGTCATACTCTGAGAGCTGTGTGTGTGTGTGTGTGTGTGTGAGAGCTTCTGGTAATGAGCACTTGTAGGTGAAGAGAAGTAACCATGGCTGCACTCCACTAATACCCTGAAGAAGCTTATATTATTAGAAATGTTTCAGTTAAAGTGTTTTTGTGGGCAAAGACAAGCCCAGCTCTTCCCACAATCCGCCATGTGATATAAATTGGAAAATAAAACCGTGAGGCAGGTTTCAGAATTCATTCGAACGTGGAAAGAATTGGAAGCTACCTGCAAATCATTGTTTTTACAATAATAACTATTCTAGTCTAAACTATTGCCACCCAAGTATCATCTAAAAAGTGAAAATCCCACCGTTTCTCCAAAATAATGTCTTTCAGCCAAAGGCGTACAAAACATGATAAAAGTACACTTCAAAGTTGTGCACTGAAGCACTCGAATATCCTCTCATACAGAAGGAGTTATAGACATACAAGATGTTCACATGGAGAGTAAATCTAATTCTCAAAAAACTCCAGAAATTAAAAATAGATGTCAACTCTTTACACGCTATTGCAACACTAGTCGACGCCCTCCTCCTCAGATCGATTCTAGTGTTTGATTTATTTTAAAAATAAATCAAACACTTTCTATTGGTCTTCTTCCAGCACCGCTCTTAAGAGAGAGAGAGAGAGAGAGAGAAAGAGAGAGAGCATTAAACATCATTCACATGGATAACTTCTGATGTATAACACCAGCTCGGGTTGTTGTCCGTCTGACTTACATATTCCTCATTTCTAACAATGATGCCCATTCAAAACCAGGGCACGTCTGACCCAGCTCTGGTCAGGAGGAGGGTCTACTTTTTGGGGTTTGACTGCTGGTCTCAAAAGAGCATCACTCTCCCCACCCCTCTTCTTCTTAACTCCACCCTAAAAACAGTCGAACACCGTCATCTGGTTCGCTATCAATCAGGACTGCTTTATGAGAAACAGTGCCCAAATGTTTCTAACCTGACAAGTGAAAACAAAAAAAGGTACTGTGGTGTCTGATATAAAGATGTCCATTAAGAATTGTGTATTTGCTTGTCGTGTTCCCTTACAGTGGTCCAAATTTGTCTTCGTAGCAACCCACTGTGCTCTTGTAGCGGCTGCAGTCCTTCCGCAGCTCGACAACTTCCGTCCGCAGCGCCGCGTTCTCGCGCTCCAGGAAAGCCGCTCTGACGGTGATCTGGTTCTCCTTTAACCTGCGGGCGTCGCGGGAGCGCTTGGCCGCCACGTTGTTCTTCTTCCTTCTATTCCAGTACCTGTCATCCTGGGGGGGGGGGGAAGCTGAGGTAAGGACAACTATGTGCGTAGCATGGCCTGCAGCCAGGCGCTTTAGTGAGTGTGTGAACAAAACCCGTGTTCTCAGACAGACTAGGAAGGAAGGAAAACATCAATTTGAAGATTGTCAAGAGTGCTGAGTCACTGTGAGTTGCCAGAGCTGCTTCATGACATGGCCTTTTCTACTGTGTATATTGCCCTTGCACCACTTGTGTATTTAGAAAATAGCGGATGACATTTGAAGCCAATTAAAGTGTTGTATTCCATTCCTGTAAGTTAACATTATTTAATGTCAAATGTCAAAGATTTGTTCCGTGCAGTCAAAGTAGAGACAGTGGGTACCTGCGTCTCTACAATTCATCTTTGAAAACTAAATGAAGGCAAGAAAAAGGGTTCTAATGTGTGGTGGGAAATTGCCAAGAGTTTGGGGAAAACAAGAAAGTGTCAGCTGACGTGGAAATATATAAAAGAGCTTTTTGTGAAAACAAGGAAGCAGCAATGATTTGTCACTTCCTGTTCCCACGACTGTGCATGTGTAAGCGTGCTCCAGAGAGTAGTATAAACACCACTAACAGGGAGGAGAAGGAGATATATAGATATAGATAGATATATAGATAGATATATAGATAGATAGATATATACACACACATTTAGAAGTTAGCACTGTTCTCGCTCACTCAGGACGGCAATAAGCAAATGTCATAATATATCAAATTAATTCAGATAAAAACTTGCTTCTTGCCCTGCGTCGTGTTTAAGTTTGCCAAAATCTATTGAGGTGTTTTCCATAAACCAAGCTATGCACAAACTCAGTGAAACAAACAGCTGCCACGTGTTTAACGGGCTGCGCCCCAACATACCTTCTGCTCGTCAGGCACGTACACTTTCTTGGCCTTCTTGATCATAGGTTGTGGCTTGAGCTCCTCTTCAGAGAACTTGTGCTTGCGAGGATTAAACAGCTCGCCTCCGGGCACACTCGACAGGACCAGGTCGGTGGGATCCGGCTCATAGTTCACATCGACCTCGAGCTCATCGGGGTCGGGGGTCTCTTCGTCGCTTTCAGTGGTCACCTCTGAGCAGACAGAAGAGGAGCACAAGGACTGAAATATTGGGACACTGTTGGCACCATGAAAGCACGCATTTATTAAAAAAACATTTTCAATGCATGATTTCTTTCCACTGTAACAAACAGACATTCCAACATGCACCGACTAAGAGTCTAAGAATAAACTAATATTTTTTTGCTACACAAATCCCTCCAGTGCCACCGCATATCACGTTTGCCTGACATCTGTGACAGAACCTGAATATCTGGTTTTCTGCCTTAGAGAAAACACAATTTGCAGATTTTTAATGAAACCCTCCGTCTAGTCTCTAGTCTCTGCTCCGCCACTCACCTGCAGTAACATCGCAGAGGATATCAGAGTCGCTCTTGGTGATGATCACTTCCCCCTCACACTTGTCCAGTTCCTGAATGGGCAGCAGGCCCAGTGAGGACACGCTGGCTGGCTTGGCAACCTTCACCTGTGCCTTTAGTTTCTCCGTCCTCGTGGAGTCTCCCTCTGCGCTGCTCTTTAGAGAGCCCACGTCCGGCAAGGTGGGGATGCCGTTCTCCGTGAGGAACTCCTCCAGGTCCATGTACTCCAGGTGGAAGTTCTCCCCATCGTAAGGAATGGTTTTATCCCAGATCGCCGGGGTCAGGGCAGCCGAAGGACCCATATCGCTACCTCCTCCGCCAAGGTCAACATCTCCCAGACACAGCTTGTCCGTTTCTGAAACACGGGAAAAAGTTGCACATTAAGATAAAAAGGCAGTATTCACAGAAACTGGTCGACTTTGTTTGCCATGACCCAGAAGGCCTTCAGTGCGTCTAATCTAATGTTCACTGCTCAAGTAAAGCACAATTGAGAGTGCGTCCGCTTGTTTGTTTTTCCTCTCCAAAGAAAGTCGATACAGAACAGTCCCTCAAGAACCAAACCAAGTTTTTTTTTTTTACTCATTTGTAACTTGGAAAGGACTACTTTGTATCAAAAGACATGGAAATTAAGGGACGAGTCTAGAAAAGCCCAGATGGTGAGGGGAGCCACACAGAATCCACCCATCAAAGCAGAAGCATGAAAGCCAGATGAACAATGAAAGCAGCAACAACAATATTTGAAATTCTAATAAAGTTAACCATTTGATAGTGGACTCAGCTTTAATCCACCTAAACAAAGAGCAATACCCAGTGCCTGTATCAAATGCCACATAATAGACTGGAGAGGAGAGGCCTGTGGTCACCGTGCTGTGTGTACACGAAGTGTCACGTTACGAGTTAGTATCGCTGCGTGTTTAACGCACTTGGAGACCCGCTGTCTGCTACATTGCTGTGGTCCCTTTAGCGTTAATTCCGCATGTTTTTCCAACTCTGACGCTACGCGGTGCGCTCCTTCCTCTCGGCACTTACCGTCGTCACCGTCCAGAATGTCCGGTGGTGGCATTTCCATAACCTTCTTCAGAACCACGGGGAATGAACTCGGGGCCCCGGTGGCCGTTTTTAGTGTGATGATAATTGGCTCCCCTGACATTTTCCTCCCGTGTTATAAGTTACTGTCAAACAAAAAGCAAGCTAAACAGCTTGTCTGCTCGATAACACTAACGTAGCTATTCAGCACCGTCTCAGGGGGATTCAACGGTTTTCACGTATGACGACGGTCACTGCATCCCTAAAAGCTCTCTTCTCTTCCTCCGGTAAACGAGTTTGGAGGTGTTGGGAACAAACTGTCCCTCTACAAAGATGTCCACCCATCCTTGTGTTGATAGGCGGGCCGGGCGCCTCGTTTTATGAATATTAATTAGGCCAATCAAAAGGGGGCGTGGATTATAACGAGGAGCCAATAGCAGTTGATACGTCGCCGGTGGCTGAGATCTCATTGGTTGATAGTTATATATATCTAGAGGTTCTACAGAACAGAATACATGAACAGGAAAACGTGCCACGAGCAAAACACACATCGTAGGTGTAGTTATTTATGTTAGCACGGCCTGGTTCCTGAATGAATGAGGTCATGATTGATGTTCTCCACCAAATTCTCTTTTTTAAATCAAGGTTTTATTAAACAATGTTACGTTTGAAAGCCCCTCCCCCACCATATACATGTAAAAACGTGCAGCTGCCGCCCATTCATATGTACAGGCTCTGTCCAATGGAGCGGCGCTCTGTTTCTGTCACTCACGCGCAGACAGGAAGGGCGGAGCAGCAGTGCAAACGTAGCCATACATTTAGCTACCACCCCTTTCGGTCTAAGTTGCAGTCCTTATGGTTGCATTGCTGCAGCTGAGCAGACAGGTCAAGGGCAAAGATCAGTCTCAAAACCTCCACTTTTATCAAGAAAAAACAGGCTGTACGTGCACTTGGTTTTCAAACTAATATTGTTCCAATTATAATACATCCTGTTTTCTTTGACAAATGATTACATTTAAATGCATGGGGCAATGATGCATTCTCCAATATGTTTCTTTGTCACTAAATTGAGTGTTCAGTCTATTTGTTCGCCTACATCAGTATCAAACTGCAAAAGGCAGCTCGGCACACCCTTCGTGCACACTAGGGTTTTAGTGGTGGTGGGAAGGGGTGTTTACTGTCCAATGTTGCTTGTATGCATGTCACAGACTCTAAGCCTTCAAGGTCAGTTGCTACAACACATGAGCTCAGTGAATGTTTTGTTAACACTGAACATCACCTTCTAAGTCACCAGGTGAAGCACCACACCGCCTGAAATTTGAGCTCTGCATTTAACCCATCCTAAGCATTAGGAGCAGTGGGCTGCGGTAAAGCACCCGGGGAACAACTTGGGGCTCAGTGTCTCGCTTAAGGACACTTCCACACCACACAAACTTCTACAGAAATAGTATATGCATTTTATATGTCAAAATATTGTATGTATACCCTGACTTGACCTCAAGAATCTTCCATTATCTGCTACCACAGAATACTGGCCTTTTTTGTTGTTGCCAGAAATACTTGGTTGAAGGTTTAGGAAAAGATCATGATTTGGGTTCCAAATATCACTTTCTGGGCGAAAGCCCTAAAAAAAAAAGGCAAATTTAAAACTTTGGGGGCTAGTCAAAAGGTGTCATCGTATGACACTCAAGGTAGAGTCCATGTGTGGCTGTCTGTGTTTGGCTCCCACAGGTGCTCTGGACAACAAAACAATCTAAAAATAAAGACGCCACGACTTTGAAGCCTGCTGTAGTCTGATGTCCCTAAACATAACCCAGAGAAGGCAAACAGGGCCATCTAGTGATTTAATTATGAATCTACAAAGCCCACCAGCTCACTCAATCACACAAATTGCCAGCAACATCAGACAGAATATTAAGAATAATAGGACCAACCATAATCTTATTTCATCAACACATCCCAGAACTGACATTTGTTTCCCACTAAGTATTTCAGGGTAATAATGTAGAGATAATTATGGGCCGACTTTCATACAGTTCTTTGGCAGAGTTTGTGGTGACGGTCTAAAAATAAACATTTAAATGGTCAAGTAAGTAAGACACTCTTCTTGTCACTTAGCTACAGCAGCCGTAAATGGTGTTAAACTATCGGTTAATGTCGAGAAAGACAACATTTGAAATAAGGCTGTATAACAAACTGTTGATCTGAATCCCGGTCAGCCTTTGAATGCTAATTTAAAAAGACAAGACCCTTGCTGTCTCCATCAGCTGACACACGTTAACCAGCCAGCTCAGCTGCGGGGATTGCGCAACAAGCACGCAGTCGTTTGCAGATAATTCAGTTTCGCTGCATGAAACTTGACAGAAAACCTCAACAAAACACACTCGAGTGTTTGAGTTGACAGCAACTTACCATCATCGTCAAAGCTCGGGAGAATAAACGGATGCTCAAGAAGAGCCCTGAACATCTCCGGCATCTCTGTCGTCATGTTTATATTTTTTAAAGTTCAATCAACCGATATTTCAGAGCTCACAGGAAGCTATATTACAATAAAGTCAAATGAGGCCGACTGAGGCTTACCCAGGCCTTACGGCTCCCATGAAATAGAATGGTTGAACTACTAAAATCGTACCAGACCTGTCTCACACTCTATGAACTCTGACCAAAAAAAAAAAAGTTACTTAACAGTTACAGTCCGCCCACTCTGCTCCCCCGCAGCCAATCAGCAGCGTGCTTCCTGCAGAAATCGACGGTGAGAACGCCGATTGGTCAGTGAGTGTGTCAATCACAGCGGGGACAAACCAATCTTGAGCCTTGCCTGGGTTGCCGAAGGTAAGAAAAAGAGAACAGAACATGCAGACCCTGAACGTCGCAGACTGTTATGTAATAAAAGACAGAATACTAAATTAATAGCATACAAACATCACCTACAGCTCCTCACGATTCGTTTGCCTGTACGAGAATGCTACACGATTTTATCCTCCTTAAATCTCATAATGCACCATGGGAATTTTAGTGTGTGCTAGATAATGCACGTGTGTATGAGAACACACGTGCACGTCGCACAGCAGTCCTTTTGACTTGGGGCAGGGAGAGCACAGGTGAATCTAGTTACAATTAACAATGGCTCATTTCCACTTGCGCGTGCCTGACAGACCAATGAGCCAGCACAACGGGTCCGCAGCTGACACACCTGCGAGGATTATACTATTTAAAGAAAATACGTTGATAAGTTATGTTCTTTGAGGAAAAAAGTCTTTGAAATAAAATGCACAAAACCCCTACAAATAACCTATTTAGTGGATGGTCACGTGCAACACTATATATGTAAGACTATTGTAGACATAAAAAAAAGATTAACTGAACTCCAAGTCAGACCAGTTTGCATTAAAAAATAGAAAAAACATGTTCAATCCATACAGTTTGTGTAGATAACTGTAAAAGAGGAAGAAGCTATCATTATTGTTATATTGCATGATATTTAGGTGATATTTTAATAATAGAAACTCAGAGAGAATGCATTGAAGAGTGATTTATCGATTCTATGCAGCACTGCTGAATATTAATGTTTACATGTTTTGATCCCCACAAATAATTCATTCCATATTACTGGAATATGCCATTAGAACAGGAGAATATTACTTTATATTTTTGCTCTCGTCTAGTGACAGCTGTTATAGCAGCATTTTTATGTCCATGTCAGATGTGAAATATGAGTTAATTTTCTTTTCTGTGACATGACCCTGAAACCAACCCTTTATAAATATGCTCATTAGTTAATTGTTTATTACAATTTGACCAGATTGTGATCTTCGATAAATGAAAAAAAAACAACAAAAAAAACACACTTCTTTTCTAAAACGGTCTGTTTATTAAATGCTTTCAAGAGATTTGGTCCACTTATGAGATCATGAACTTCCAACCAGGGAGGAGAAAAGAGAAAACAAAGTCAAGAAGATAAAACAAAATGTAAAAATACAGTACAAAAAGAGGCTTTGTTTTTTCCACTTCTTTACAACCCTGGTTTCATCATCAGAGGTGTTGAAAAACAATTCAAAGTACCGATATTTTCTAAATGATTGAAAACCGATAAAATTAAGATTTTTTTTTTTTATGTGGCTGTGCAGGTGTGTGTTGGCGCTGGGAATCAAGTGACACAAACGTTATGAGAGGGCAGGACCACTATGTCTGCATGCTCAGGCCCCCTCACACACTGGGAATAATCCCTTTATTGTTACAGTAGAATGAACGGCAATGAAAGGGCCTGCATGTGTCGGAGGTTTCTTGTACTGTAGCCTCTGTAAATATTGTAGTTCTGAGCACTACAACGCCTGCTGTTATGCATAAAGTAGCAGAAACCTCCTCACCTTTAGTTTGTGTCATGATTCGCCTGCTTTTAACAACACAGGTTCCGCTGTGAAATTCAGTTACATCATTAGTACCTTTCTCCAACAAAGGAAGAAGAGCCCCCCCCCCCCCTCAAATACTCTGCCTTTACTATAACAATTTACTCCAACATGTCTTTATAAGCAGAGACTGTTTTGCTCATCCACTTGTCACAGATGCCAGTCAGAGTCCCTATTTAATGCAGCCAATTATAAGTTTTAAATAAAATTCCACCTTGTGGTTATTTACCAAAGACAAAATTAAGATTTACCAAGTTTTGGCAAATGGGTGATGTTATCTATCCATCCCAGCTGCTTTGGGAATATCCTGAATGGACAACTAATGAATGACAGAGAGCATTTGAGTCTGCGGCACTCGACTAATAACTTGTCCTTTTTAAAACACCCTGAAAAAACCAGATGGGAACACATTACCGAGCACAGAAAAACCCTCACACAGCCACAGAAAGAAAACAAACTAAAAAAAGCTCCACCATCTCTTATCTAAATGACCTTATAAGGGTGTCTAAGTATTATAATAGGTATCAGGTATCATATACTGTATATAGTAAGAATGGGTATACAATAGGGGTATGTATCATCTTATAGGTGTAGTATATTGAATAAGGCGCTACACAGGAGTATATAGGCTACTATGTATGCTTTTGTTTCCGTATCTGTCTGTGCTCGGTGAATCAGCTCAAACAAAAGCGCACAGCACAGGCAGTGAGCAGCGAGCTCCGCTGGTAGGATCGACACTGAGGACACTGCCACAGGGAAACAGTCTCATTCATTCATTCATTCATTCATTCATTCATTCATTCATTCATTCATTCATATATATATATATATATATCTGTAAACTTAAATCATCAACTAGCTTTTCTTTTCTTTTGGCCAGTGCCCAAATAATCCTAAGGCTTACGAACAGAGCTCAGACAACATTAATATATAGCAGGTCTACTGTACAGTGTGAAATGGCTTCTACTACTGATGGCCTACAGGTGGCTGATAACCGACCCCCCCCCCCACACACACCTGTAGGTTAAACCTTTAAACGCCTTACATTAGATATCAGAAGCTGGACGTCTTCTGCTCACTGCCTCCCAGACACAGAGCTGTGCCCTGCTGCATACACAGACGCATATTTACTGTTAATTATTATATTCATACATGGATACATATATAAAGAGAGTTATACATTGCAATAAACATACATATATCAATAGCATATAGAGAAGAAATAGAAATAGTCAATAGATAGCAATCATTATCATCATCATCATATTCATCATAATACTAGGAGTAGTAGTAATACGATCCCTCAAAGAAGCTAATACCTGGGCTGCTCCAGACAAGGTCTCATTATCAACAATTCCCCCCCCTCCCACCACCAAAAAAAAAAAAAAAAAAAAAACCTGATGAGTGTCCAGCTAAACTGACCTTAGATCTGCTGTTTAGGATTAAGCCCAGGCTGGGCCGGCAGTCTAGATTCTGACTGCATGGGCATTAAGTTTGTTTCAAGACACTGTAGGCTGTGGCGTCAAAACCATTTCTATATTTTCTATTTATACACCGACTGCAGACAAATGAAATACCACAAAAAAAACTCTCTTACATCGTGGTTCGATGGTTAAATAAAATATCTCGTCTTCACACGGTCTGGTCCGATTGACGGTAACGTTCTGCTCGAGTGTAGTGTCAGAGTTTGGGGAATTGAAGCCGCTTGTTGTTGTCTTTTGCATTGAGCCGAGGTCACTCTGGACGGGAACATTAGATGAAGGCTTGAAATATAAAGTGCAGCTTTTGACCCACACATTGCAGGGACAGGAACACCGCCACATGCTGTGGATCCAGTTTAGCTACTGAACTTGTGAACAAAGGAAAAAATAAATAAAAACCCTCTCAAGTTGGGCTCACTCGATTTCTTCTCTTCTGCTCTGTGTCAAGATTTACCGAACAAACAAACCCCGTCTGGAACAACCCACACAGAAGGAAGAAATTACAAAATAAAAAGAATCATATAAAACAAAAAACACTATAGTCATCTAGTTCAGTGATACATGTCATATAGCAATACCTCAATAACAAGAAGTTCTTCTATGTAATCAATACAGGTTTTCAGGTTATATATTTATTAAGCTTAACCGCTAAGTTATCAATTATTATTAGTAGTATACCATTATTTGTAAATATGTATAATATGTGTGTATATGTATCTGAATATAGACATATCTCCATCGTGTCTCCGTCCACGTTAAAGGCTAGAATAAGATGGCAACAGATATCCTTCCTGTGTGTGTGTGTGTGTGTGTGTGTGTGTGTGTGTGTGTGTGTGTGTATAGGTGTTGTTTATAGGCACAACATGTGGTGAGAATGGTTTCCCTGTCTCAGGCCAACAGCTTTCTCATAATGAAAAGGTTAATATTAGGAGCGACTGATAGCCATCAGGAACATAACAAATGGATGCACATGAGGAACACTGATGTCCATCTGAAGGCTGTTGGGGCACAACTGTTTGTGTTCATCTGTGAAACAATGACCCCAGTTCAACTGAAGAAGTGGCAACATGCCCTTACTTTTAAATTATCTGAAATATTCTCACAATCAACTGTAGAAACATACATTCTTAATATTCCTTCATTTTTACCCAGCTTTTCAATCTTTAAATGATCTTTTTTTATTAACAACTGAAGTCTTCTGCGTGGGCAGTATTTTGACTGTGCTTCAGTCCAAGTGAGGTCATCATTTCTTAAATGGGCATCTGCGGCGTGAACCGATCTAATGCTGAGAGCAGCTCCAGCCAGGACGACGTGCTGCAGTCGCTTCTCTCCGTCGCCCTCCTACACCCGCTTCACATCTCTGTCGGCTGCCAGTACATGATGGGTACATTAGCCACAGGTGGTTAGTTGATTTACACCCACCTCCCCTGGACACCGGCTGACTCCCACTGCAAGGTTATGTGATGAGCGTGCGTGTCGGCGCTCATCGGTTTGATTACACAACCAGCTATTAAGAGGCCATCTTATATCTATAGAGGGGAGGGCTGTCATGTTACACAAGTTTGTTTTGGGGCATGTAAGTATACTTGCATACATTCCACAACAACGTTTTAAATGACTAATTTCCTAGTTTCAAAGGCCCATGCAGGCATTACATTCATAGCGTTCTACCAATATGGCAGACAATATAACAAGGAAGAGCAACTCGCCTTGGAAAAAAAATAAAATTACTCAAAATCAGTAATCTCCAGAAAGCTAGTTTGACCCTTCTCGTAATGCTCCCGTGAAGGAAGGAGAGAGGGATTTGGTTGTTGGGCAGCTTATCGAGGAGTCTCCACTTAGAATCTCTTTTTTACAATTCTCCTCAGTTTCTATGTTGCCATTGACAGCATTGTGGGCTTCGCACTCCAAAGTTAAAATTTCGTTTTAAATCATCACCGAGTGAAATTTAAAGGGCTGCGACCAGCGCGCCCACCCAAGAATTGTTTCAGTGCTGCGAGGATTTTAACAAAAAAAAAGAAAAAGAAAGTGGCGCCTGGTGGACACAAATAGTCCAAAGAGCACTAGGGAATACTAGTTTATTATCTTTAGTCAGAGCAAAACTAGGTGTCTGTGGAATTTCTGCAGTATAATCTGAACCTAAAGGTGCTGAGTGTAACTGAAGCTTCCTACTAAAACAAAAAGTCCTATATTTTCCCTCACAAAGCTTTTTCTTTGTATTAAGCGGTGCCTGTGATTTGTGTGTCATGTGCTGTGTGGAAGTGTTTTGTATTTGTGTGTGTGTGTGTGTGTGTGTGTGTGTGTGTGTGTGTGGCTCAACCATTTAGCTGCGTGTCCATCTTCTCTGACATTGCTGGCGAGATGTTACAGGAGGTCAGACTGGCGAGGTGACAGACAGTTGAGTTGGTGTGGCAGACCCGTCTCTCTGTGCAGCTCAGCGGCGATCAGCTGGCTCTCGTCAACACAGCAACTCTCAGAGATCGTCCCCGTCTGACAACCGCCGGCCTCCCTGAAACGATAAGCATCGTCACGGTCAACTGAGCAAACAGGAATGCAGTCAGTTACTATAAACACGCAAAAGACTCCAAGCCTTTTTAAATATATAAGCTTCTGTGTCCGCAAATGTTATTGTGCTTTTTCACTATATCACTATATTCAAAACGCATATCATCACATCAAATCATCTTTATTAAATTTCCCTGACACATCAATGGGGGAAATCAATGCCATATTCACCTGATAAGCCACTGAAAAGAGGGGCGGCAGGTTTAATTGCCTATAACAATGTTATAACCTCTCACCATGCTTTCCGCGTAGTCTGCCGTTATGGTGACCTGCTTCTCCTCTGGGGGCGGGCTCACAACCGAGCTTTCTGTGCGTCTGCTCTGATTGGTGAGCTGCAGCCACAGTTCGTACATCTGCTGCATGTCTCTCACTGCAGAGGAGGGAGGTGAGAAAGAGAAGCATGACGATTAAATCTAGATCTAAACACACCACCGCTCTTTTGTGTGCTGTAGTCAACAGCTCTGAATGCACTGTTCTCATAACGCTGTGCTTGAAGGTGGACGCAGGAGCTTACAGCTGTTGTTCTTCATGTACGTCCAGACGTCCCTCTCCTCCAGACTGTGAGCAAATGAGCAGTTCCCAATATAGTGGCACTTCTTCTGCTTCATCACGTGCACACACATCTGGATGAGACACAGACAAAGATTTTACAGACTGAACCCAACAGCATTGCAACAGAGGTTCCTACTCTGTTCATTTAGCCAGTTCATCGCTCTAAATTGTGAAAAATGTCACTTTGTTGTTGTAGTAAGAGCTGCATAAGTCGCTCTTGTAATTTGAATATAGTAATCGTACAATTAATGTGTTGTTTAACTCAGCTGACGGTGTCAAAGACACACCGGCAGCAAGAGAAAAATAAGACACAGAGGTAAGGAGATTTACGACAACATCCTCAGGGCAAAAACCAGAGTCAGCACTCGGCATGTGAGAGGGGTGAAGGGCGTTGAATAGAAAAGAGTGCAGAAGTACTCACGTCATATTGCTGTGGATAGGTGCGGGAGAAGGGCAGAGGCCGAACAACAACCCACTTCTTCTTCTCAAAGGATTTCACCAGCAGAACCCGACGCTCCTTCGTCCAGCTAAAGACACAAAGAGACAAAAACAAAGGTTAAAAAGAGCAGCAGCAACTAAACAAAAGCCAAGATTGTCAGTTTGTCTTTTGACATACAATTCTGCCGCTACTCTAACAACCAGTGCTGTAATGGCAGCAGCTGATTATACGTCCAGAAATACACAAATCAAAGTCTGTGACAACGCAAACTGCACAGTCAGCCTTAAGGATCGGACTGGAAAACACTTGTGTCGAATTGCTGAGCTTCATGGGACACACATGGTGGCGCTGGCATGTACGTGTTTGAGACAGGCCTCACCTGTGCCGTGCTTTGGCGGTGCAGTACTTGAGGTTCTTGTCGGGCTCGTTGACCTGTCCTTCTCTCCAGCACTGGCCGCACACAAACTTCATTTTCAGGTTGAGGGGGCGCCCTCTGCCCATGCCTGCGCCCAATCCTCCCATCCCCAACCCACCCACTGGGCCCACCCCACCCCCACCAATGCCGTCTCCTCCGCCTCCCATTCCCCCCACCCCTCCTGCAGACATGCTGCTGCTTGGATGTGGGATGTGGATAGGCTGAAAGAGAAATGGGAAGTTAACATTGATAAAGCAGACCGTGTTTTTGCCAGAATACTATACAAATATCGGCTTCTTTTACACATAAATGTAGGATGGGTAAAGCAGGATCTTTGGGGGGAGATAGCATGAACTTCCGTGCTCATTGTGCTCTACAGGTGATGTTCCTTCTCAGGGGAAACGAACTGGCTGGTTGCCATGTGTATCAGAGGATGCATGTGGTAACGGGTCTACCACAGTAAATTACTACAGTACAGGGGAACTGTCCGACTTATTTGGTAAGAAGAAAACCAAGTGCAGGATGTCCAACTGTCTCAGTTCCCTTTCCTGTCTCACCTTCTGCTGCTTCTGTGCGTTCTGCTCCAGCCTTTGCCAATGTCTCTTGGACTCCTGCACCATCTCTTCGTGGGTGATACCTGAAGGAAAGATTAGGGAGCAGCTCTGGGAAAAAAACCTTCATTTACTTAACTAGATACCGTGTTCATAGTGAAATAAAGTATACATTATGTAGCGGAACACATTTTGTTACAGTTAGGGGCTAAATGTGTTCTTTCCATTCACAATAGCTTTTAAATAATTGAAAAGACAACTGGAGCGCGTGTTCTCCCGACCTGTATCCTGCTGCAGGACCCAGCATTTGAGCTCTATGACGGAGTGAGCAAAGGAGCAGCTGTCCTCGCGCTGGCAGCCATAGCGAACCTCGTGGCGACACACGTCAAACTGGCAGAGAGGGTGCAGGGGGCGCACCTTACTGTAGCGCACATTGGCCGACCTCACCACGTGCACCAGGCACCTGCGGCAGAGACACCAGAGCAGTCAGAGAATTGTTATGGGGCCAACAGACTAAATGAAATTACATTTTGAGTGTATTTAGTGCGCACACACACTATTATTCCTCACACTATTATTAAACCTAACTAAGACTTTTTGGAGCAAAATAAAGACAGAAACTCCGTTTCACTCACTTGTTGTCGTCAAACGGGTGTCGAGCTGTGAGGTTTGAGCAGACCGCCAAGTTTTCTTTGCTGCGCTTGCTGATGATGCGAGGCTTACTGTCAAAACATTCCTGTTGTAAAGAGTAAAGAGATGAATACAAGTCCACGTCTTGTTCAAAGGCTTCCACCGGTGCAGGTCTTTAGTGACCAAAAAGAAGAAGAGAAACACCAACCACCGGGGTCTCACCTCACAGAGGAACATGAACATGCCCATGTGGAGCTGCAACAGTCTGGTGACGCTGAGCGCCCGTCTCTCTGTGCTGCCCAGCGGGTCGAACAGCAGCTCTCGGCTCAGCGCACCCTTCCTCTCCTGGGTCCACACGTCAATCTCCTCCTGGCAGTAAGCAAATGTACAGTTCTCCCCATACTGGCACTCCTGACGCTCCTGCACCTCTGTGGGACCCGAGGAGAGAAAATGTTCAACAGAATACAAACACATTTTTTGCCGTAGTTCAACTCATTTTGGTTGCCGGGGCTTTGTTGATTTCTAAAATAGATTTTCCCCCCCATCTCCAACATCCATTCAAGCATCGTATTCATAGTAAATACATACCTTTACAGAGTACAAATGCCCCCAGGAAGTTGTTCCGTGCGGGCCTTGGCCGGATCCTCTTCCACGTTGGGTCATCTGTGTTTTTGAGGCGGCACAGAAGCACGTCCCTTTTGCAGCGGTGTGCTGCCTCTGGCTGATACTTGTAGTCCATCACTCTAGGACCTATGAGGAAGAGGAGGAAAGAGAAGGTTAATTAGCCTGTAAAACTAGTAATGACTAGTTCAGGTGTAAATGATGTTGCGATTAATACTGGTCAGCGATAGAGGCTGAGCCTTAAAAACAGTGTCTAGATATTTCGCTAACAGAGACGGCAAAGCTGTAACATCCCACTGTACATTTTTGTTTAAAAGGGGGGGGGGGGGGGGGAGCTGCTCAAAGGTTAATAAGAGACTCAGCTTGAACCAACCTATTCGGCTGTAACAGGCATGACAGGCCTGCCGAAACTCATGTGTGACTGCCAGAGGATTCCTGGAGAGCAGAGACAGGTTGGTTCCTGCAGGACCGTTCTGAAAAAAGAAAAAGGGAAACACAGACGTGACGTTAAACACGAAGGCCACTTAGCGGCAGAGTTAGGAATGGCTGGCACCATTAACAGTACCATGTAAAAGTAGTTTGTCCTGCAAGAGATGATGCTAGTGTGTGTGTGTGTGTGTGTTACTCACTGCATGTGCAGCACTGTGGTTACGCATTCCAGGGATGAAGCTGTGACACATTCGCCCCCCTGAAGACCACAGACACAAGGACACTGATGTCAGACACCATGTTGTAATGGTGCTGACTCACACTGCCTGCTGCTGGTGCACATGTCAGGCCTAGGAGCTGTGCTCTGGTAACTACGTAAGAGCAAGCTAACACATTGCACTGGGTTCAAAATGTGTGTACTACTTCAGTTCTATGTAGACTTATTTACATTATAGCTGGCATGCTTTTTTTTAAATAAACAGTACTGTAGACTCTTCGCTCACCAGGGAGAGTATACTCGGACAACGAGTCCAGCCCGCCAGCAGCGATTCCTGCCTTCCCTTCTCCATCCGTGGTCCCTGTGGGGAAGTCTCCCAGTGCGTCCTGCGCCTGGGTGGAGCCCTGGTCCCGCTGGGCCAGCGGCGAGTAGGGCTCCAGTGGGGGCATGTCACTGATAGAGGAGCTGAAGAAGGTTGGGGTGAGCTGGGGTGACGAGGCTGGAAGGTTTGGGGAGTATGGCGGCCGGAGGCCCACTGCCGTATTGGGAAGGTTGGTGGGGATCGCACCCTGGACTGGACTCTGTCCCAGGAGACAAACAGAGACAAACATTAGCTTATGTAGAGGACCTATCAGGTGAAGTCAGCCCTACTAAAAAAAAACATGCCGAGGATCCAATTCAGGATTTCTTCGCTCATCTGTCCTTCACTCACCTCACTGACTTTTTTGGGGATGCAATCCAGCAGACTGTCCAGCTCGTCATTGATGACGCTGCTGCTGCATTCTTCCATGTGCTCCGACACAGGGACGGAGTACGGCATGGGGGGCAGGCCTTGGCTGCTGGGGCTCTCCGACAGGTCAGTGCACGGGGACACTGGGGTCGCCGGGTCATCACTGACTGGGATGGGCGTGGCCAAAGGAGCAGGGATGCACTGCGCGTTGGACTGGTCCGCTGAGGGGGACGAAAACAGCGATGGTGTTAAGAAAATGAATATGGTAAATACAATCTGGGTAGGAAGAGACATGTTCAAGGTGTGCAGGTTGCTCATACCTGGTCCCATGTCACCCAGAGATTCCAGCCCATTGGAGGACATCTGAGAAAAAGAGAGAGAAATAACAGAGGGGATTAGTCTCTCATTCAGTCGCCAAGTAAGTAACTCTAGACCGCGACAACAGCACCCACCTCTCCCGTGGGTGGGGAAGTCTCCCCGTGACTCTCCCCTTCTGTGGCTGTGGACTCCGTTTGAGGGCTGACGTAAGCCTTGCGGCCCTTCAGGCCTAGTTTACTGGCCAGATCCTGAGCCAGGTCATTCACCTGCCGGTCCTGGAAGATGAATCACAAGAAGAGGTCCCACTTACCAAGAATAACTTTCATTCACTTTAAGGTAAACTATTACGAGGAACACAATGTAGTCCATGAAGTCATAATTCATGACTCAATACGTATACCGACACTGAATTTCAAGATTCTATTCAAAATCTGCATTATCATCTCCACTAACTCATTTTCTGAACTAGATCCTTAAAATGATTTTTGGGGAAAAGATAATTCGTATTAACATTTCAGTGTTGATGACATACGTGTGGCGCTGTGAATAGACATTTAGTTCCACACTCGTAGGCCTCCCGGATTCGTCCCAGCTCCCTCAGACAGATGGCTTTGCGGTACAAAGCCCTGCGACTGCCTTCTGACACAGACAGTGCGCTGTCACAGTCCTGAACACCGCGCTCATACTCCCTCTGAGGCCCACAGAACAAAGACACACAGTAAGAGCTGGAGAGGCATTGGAATTTAAGAAGGTATGTTCAATTTACACAGAACATAAAGAGACTTGCACACGAGTTAAATCATTCCATATTCCCTCGTCCCCCTTCCCTCTCACCGTCTGGTAGCTGGCGGCGGCCCTGTTGACATACAAGCTCTCCAGCAGCTCGTGCGGGATGACGAGGGCCTCGGCCTGAGCGTAGCGGGCCACACTGACCCCCTCTCCGTACTGCTGGGTCGCTTGACGACAGTCCCCATCACGGAAGCAAGAATTGCCCTCGTCCAGCAAGTTGCATACCAACTGGATCACAAACGCCTGAAGGGAAGTGTAAAGAGAGATCAAAGAGAGGGTGAGAGACGGAGGGACAGGGTGACATAAAAAATAATAAAAGGTGAAATGTGATGGTCAGAAAGACACAAAGAGGAAAAATGAGAAACAAGAAAAGAAATAAACTAACAAATCACAATGTCTGAGCTCAAATCTACATCTAGATACAGGAAAAAACTAAACAAAATGTGAGTATGATCATGATGAAAGGAGTATAGGAACAAATTGATGATAAAAAAAAGTTGTGAATGATAACTGGGATGAAAAGGATGAATGCAAACCTCATAGCTCTCTGGCTCTGGGAAAGGCAGTGATGACCTGTGGACAGAGAGCACGAGAGGGCTGTCAATGCTCTCCAAAGGGTGTGAACGTTGCTCATGATACTGATCAGTCATAAAGGAGGCATTAAAGGGACATTTTACTTGTGTACTTACTGAATAAAGCTCATGGCTTTCTGAATTTCCTCTCTGCGTTTCTGACGATCAGGATCCATAGCCTGAGGGTTAACACAAGGTTGACTTGTTTGAAACTCGACTTTTTGCACAACAGCGTCAACAGCTAACGACGCGGTCAATACATCCACACATTTGATGGCTAAGTATCTATTCTGCAAACGTTTAAAAACCTTTGCAAAACCTGCTCACTAACTAACGTGACATTCGCCCTGAACGAGCCAAGGCCTGAGCTATCATCGGACTTGCGTAAACAAACAGCGGGCAAAGCTCACGGTGAAGACGGCTGGTGGTTATCGATAGTATTTCATTAATCTGTGGATGACACGGTTCGCCAGTATTCCACCTATTGATAGTAGACATTTTTTGGGAGGGGGGCATGTGAACGTTAGCTACACAGTTGAACCGTTAGCCATAACGATGTTGGGGAAATGATCACGTTAGCCATCGCGTGATATGCAGGCATATCGGTCGTCTACCCCAAAAACCATTCACCGACAGCGATGAAGGTAAAATACACAACGTGGGGTTATCTGCTAATGACGTCAGTGTAGTTACCGTTAACGCTGCCGTGGTTTAGCCACCGGTAGTTAGGATTAGCGAGCTAACGCTAACTTGACGTGAACGCTTCTCACTCAGCCAAAATGCTAATCACTGCAACTTAGCTTAGCTAGCGTTAAAGAAATAGCATTAAATAAATGTTTATTCTGTTTCATGTCACGTGCATTGTTTTGATTTTAATTATTGTTGCGTTGACATATGGCTACCCTGCTTGTAACAAAGTGTTAACTAGCTACCTGTTAGTTAGCTAACTTAATTTAGTAATAAAGCCCCAGCTAACAGCCAAAGCTCTCACTTATCACGACAACTCACCGCGAGTCAAGTTACAGCTTCAGATCAGAGAGCTTCACAGAGCGGTGGCGACAAAGTCCGGAATACAAAGCCAGATATCAGTCAATGTCCAGGCGCATATCTGTACATTTAGTGTGCCTGTCATTGGTGTGTGGACGGAGCACGAGTTTCTCTGCGCTACAACTGCTGCTGGATACTGAATCAATATTAGCTAACGCTAGCTAGCTAACTGCTAGCTGTTTCTGTTTCGAGTGCAGCATTGCAACAAGTTTCCAGGAAAAGTGTGGCCACTAGAGGGCAGCAGAAACACCGTCACTGCTCTGGTTAGCCTTAGTTTTGGAATGTGGTGGAAGCAGTAATAACAATAGAATACTTGAATAAAAATGTTATCACCAAATGAGCAGAATGACCCTTATCAGTGGTACAGATGCAATCATGTGTAAACAGCATTTTAATGTAGTAGTTGGCCAAGATGGAGCAACTTTTGCCCACTTGATATATAATATGTTGGTCATTGTATATCTTATAGCAATGCATCATATTCTGTAAAGTTATTTTGTTTTTGTACGAAAAATCTTGCAAAGTAATTAGTATTTGTAGTGTATAGTGAAAAAGTTCAGCATTTGATGTATGAAGGAGAGTAAAGTACTGGAGTAATTATATTCTGTTCATTTCTAATCCTCTTTGAATTTCAAACATCTCCCACACACACCTTGCTTAGATTTAATTGTAAAATAATACAATAATGTGAACAATCATTGCCTCTTTGTTTTGTTATTGACATGATCATGCAATTTAATTATCACGTAAAGCACGTTGAACTGTGCTTTTGTATTAAAATTGTGCAACATGGATACAATTTGAAATGAATAGAATGAAATTGAACATAAATGCGTTATGAACTATTACCCTGCTCTCTCTTAAATAATGTATGGCGTTTTGTAAACTTTTAAAATGTGCCCCTTAAATAATAGGTACTTTTTTTAAATATTGGGAAGTACACTAGACAATGCTGTGCTGTGCCACCAAAATATTGTTAAAAAAATAACACAAATATGGCATGAATTTCATCCTCCTGGCACGGGGTGTATCCATAAAACAAACTCCTGTTGGTAATCAGGCCTTGCCTCTTTCTCAGGTGCGGGTCTCTGTGGCTCTCCTTCTGCTGGAGGTTTCAGCAGGGTCTCCGCCTTCAGTGTGAGGAGGACCTTGCTGGTTTCTCTGCTGTTGAGGCTCAGATCCCCCCACAGGGCCTTTCATGGACTCCAACTCCTCACATGATTCAACCAGAGGGTTCAGGTCCTCTGCTTCACCCCCCTGCAGTAGTGTCTCCTCGCTGTCTCCATCCTTGTTGATAGGCGTCTGGTCTATAAGCTGTGACACGCTGGGGTCAGAAGCCCTCGTGTCCGGGTCACCTGTACCCGACTGGGCTCCACATGGAGGAGCCAGTCCTGTGAGGTCCTCTCCCTTTGAGGAGCTCTTTGGCCCCTTGAACTTCTGCCACAACATCTTCCCAGTAAGGAAACCAAAGAAGCTAGCAAATGTCACTTTGAACAGCGACCTGAACCTAGCAGAGGCCCTCATGGCTCCTCGAGCAACTTTTACTGGGGCTAGTTGAGCGATAACCGTGCTGAGTGAGGGCACCAACCTGTCCCAGAACCTCTCCTGGTGGTCCATAAACTCTCTCCTCCTCTCTACTTTATGAATGTGGTCTATGTCTCCGTGGTGCTTTTCCTCGGCGAAAGGAAAAATTTGGTGCAAATTTGAGCTAATGTAAGCTTTCAGGTAGTCTACTGCGCCCGGGTACACAGTGGCGTCAACCAGTTGCTGCTGATAAAAGTTTGTTAGTTTAATAACGTTTGTTAAGAGAGTATCAACTCAATTAAAACAGACAAACACGGAAGTAGATTTGACTGACAACCTTAAAAAAAAGAAGTAGTTTGAAAATAAAAAATACATATTTACTAACTTTATTGTATTACTACAATTCGAAATTAAATAAATTAAAATGACTTAAGATACAAATATATTTCTTTAATTTCGAAAAAAAATATATATATACTGTATATGTACTCAATTAATTATATTATATATATATAAAAAAAACAGGGTTCCAAGAAACAGAAATTCATAGAACAAAATCTATCCGTTAATTAATTAAAATATTCATTAGTAAACTATTCATTAGTTAACAATATTAGAGTACAGTGAAATGAATCCAGAGTAGTTCGGGGTTGTTCCAGCAGATGGCGGTAGAACAGTGTAGATCAATTTCAACCGACGTAAACAGAATCGACGAAAAAGAAACCGGGTGCAGCGTGACGTCACACGGTTGAGTAACCGGCGCGCGGCACGGAAGAGCGCCGTGTGTTCGCCATCGTTTCCTTGGAAATTACCAATTAGTCTTTGTGGTAAGGTTTAGTGCTTCAGTGAGAGCTTCATGACTAATACGACACGATACAATGACCGAGAGGCACGAGGATACCGTTCATGATGTCCGGACTCTCAGTCACATTCGTTTTAGTTTAACTTTCATTATGTTGCGCACTTCTACTGGCTAGGGCCGACAAGGCTAAAGAGCTAACGTCACCATGAGTGCTGTTGTCGTCAGAAAATTACCTGTACATAATGTCACGTTATCCACCGTCATCGAATACGTCATTTCCACTGTACTTCTGCTCAGTTATGTGTCGATAGAGTTACTAAAATGTGATCCTTCTCTCTTAACGCCTGACTTCTGGATGTTTCTATAGAGTCAACCATGGCCTCAGATGACATCGCTCAGCTGGCTGATGCGCTGTCCAAGACCCACGTCGGGGATGGAGAGCTGAGCTATAAAGGCTTGGGTCTGAAGCTGGACAACGCAGAATCAGGTCAGATTTCAAACGGGTCCACTTAGGGTACCCTCTACATGAGAGGGCTGGTGGATGCTTCCTCCTCAGACCTGACCACCTGTTCTCTCTGTGCTTTCAGTGGAGGATCTGGTCCGTGAGATGGAGCAGTACCCAGGTCTGAGAGCTCTGCGTCTGGAGGGGAACACGGTGGGAGTGGATGCGGCCCGGGCCATAGCCAAGGCTCTGGAGAGCAAAGACCTGCTCCAGGTACTCACTCTGGAGTTCCTCCTGTACCCCGTTTGTCGTCACTTCACTGTTTTCTTTCTGTTAAAAAGCTCTTTGTGTCTTTCAGAGATGCTATTGGAGTGACATGTTCACCGGAAGGTTGCGCTCTGAAATCCCAACAGCCCTGGTGAGAAATACAGACACTGATTTTTCTGGATTTGAGTCGCGATGACGTTTAGTAACACGCTAAGAACATGCCTGCGTCACACGTCGTCTCTCTGTGCGTTCATCAGAGGTCTCTGGGCGGTGCGTTGATGAGTGCGGGGGCCAGGCTGACCGAGTTGGACCTGAGTGACAACGCCTTTGGGCCGGATGGTGTGAAGGGAATCGAACAGCTGCTCAAGAGCCCTTCCTGCCACACTCTGCAGGAGCTGAGGCTGAACAACTGCGGCATGGGGATCGGAGGAGGAAAGGTGAGTTTGTTCGACCCGGCACCGTAAATCACTCACCCACCTCCCAATGGGACTTTCATCCTCTCCCCACACAATCTGGAAAGTTCTCCAGATTTACAATGAACCACTTTGCTGTGTGCTTTGTGTAGATCCTGGCTGAAGCTCTGATTGATGGCCACAGACAGTCGTCAGCGCACGGAGCTCCACTCAAACTGAGAGTGTTCGTCGCAGGGAGGAACCGCCTGGAGAACGAAGGAGCCAGCGCCCTGGCCAAGGCCTTTCAGGTAGAAAATAATCACCAAATGTGATAATTGGGGGAAAACACTCGGAGATAACTGATAATCAGTTAATTGTTAATAGTGATTAATCAAGCAAAATTGCCAAACATTTCCTGGTTCCAGCATCTAAATGATTTGCAGTTTTTTTTCTGTTCTGTGTCACTGTGTATTTAAAATCTTAGACGACGACTCCTCCTTTTTTTCTCCATGTAAGCTGATGGGCAGCCTGGAAGAAGTCCACATGCCCCAGAATGGTATCAACCACGCAGGCGTGATGGCGTTGGCTTCAGCCATGCGGCACAACCCGGAGCTCCGTGTCCTCAACTTCAACGACAACACCTTCACCAAGAGGGGAACGCTGGCCATGGCACAGGTGAGGCCTGTTCTCACATTCCTTATAAGTAGAGAAAAGATACGTAGCCGCGCGCTTCAGTCACACGGTTTTCTCCTGTCGGCCATGCAGGCTCTGAGGCACCTGAGGAATGTACAGGTGATCAACTTCGGAGACTGTCTGGTCCGCTCTGAAGGAGCCATCGCCCTCGCCGCCGTCCTCACAGAGGGACTGCCGATCCTCAAGGTCTGTTCACCATCAAAGTTCAGTTCTCTGTCTGCGTCTGCCTCGTCACCAGGCTGATTATACTATGTGCTCCTTGTTTTTTAGGAGCTCAATCTGTCCTTCGGGGAGATCACAGAGGCAGCAGCTCTGGTGGTTGCTCAGGCCGTCGTGGACAAACCTGACATGGAGAAAGTGGATCTGAACGGTACGCCGACTGTGGAACGGCTCCCACTCTCCGTGTAGAAGGAGCAGTTACATGATGGTTCTGATGGCAGTCAAAATAAGAATAAGTCGATGATACACCAGAAAGTTACTCTTTTATGCGACTCTTACAGGTAACAGTTTGGGGGAGGAGGGCTGTGAGGCTTTGAGGGAAGCGATGGAAAACATGGACAAAGGAGGCATGCTGGCATCACTCAGGTAACACACACACACACGCGCACGCGTACGTTTGTGTGACGTTAAGTGATCCAGGGAATCTCTTTCCGAAGCTATTGTCCAGTTCCTTCAGTACAAAAACCAAAACACAACTTATCTCTGATCAGCTTGTTAATCGAAAAACAAATGTTATTTTGACTTCACTGTAGTGATGATGAGGGAGAACCTGATGAAGAAGAAGATGACGATGATGATGATGATGATGATGATGCCAGTGACTGCAGTGAAGACGATGAAGAGGACAGTGACATTGTGAAGGAAAATGGAATAACAAGAAGAGACGACAGTCCTGCAAAACCTCAGAGCCCAGTAAGATGACACGAGATCCACGCTGCATATTGTTCATTTCTGAACTGATGATGATGTTGTTGTTTATCGTGACTTTGTGTCCACCCTCAGGCAGAGATCATGTCTTTCCTCAGCTGCCCCTCAGCAGAGAGGCTCCTTCAGCTGGGAGAGATGAGGACGAGCCTCCAACAACAGGTAGGAATCTAAAAATAAATATCACTCTCCTTTTTGGCTGTTTAGTCTGCTAGGCTAGGTGTACAAACACAGAACGGATATAATCTGCCCCTTTCCTCACCAGGTGGATGCATCCGACCCACACAAGGCCGCTGAAGTCCTCCTGAAAATCGCTTCTTTGTACAGCGAGGAACCAGAGACCAAGACGGCTGTCCTCGAAACTATCGGTGAATAAGACGCCGCTTCTTATGAAGTGTTCCACTAGTGGTTGAAATATAACGTTGCTGATGGATCTCGCACCCTTTACGTACCCCTGCCGTCTCATTTAATGACCTGCATCGCTGTGTCTCACAGATGCCGTGTTGAGGAAGCTCCTCTCTGGCTCAGCTTTCCAGTCGTACTGCTTCCTCTCCTCGCTGCTGGTCATGATGGGACTCCTCAAGGTATGATGATGATGCTCCCCCCCCCCCCCCCCAAATCCCATCTCTCCAAAGAATCTGAAAACAGAACTTATGGGACTCAAATCTCATGACAGTTCTGCACATCAAAGCTACAACAAGGAACTTTGTGTTTCCAAGCACCAGATTCCCTTCAGAGAACTCATCACAATTTGATATGAAATACTATTATTGATAGAAAAATCAGTTAATTTAGGTTTTTACTTTTCTGTTGTGTGTTTCAGGGAGAGGGGAAGATGAAAAAGGTGTCGCTGGTCCCAGGTCAGCTGCTGTGTTTGGAGCACGCCATCCAGCAGGACTACTTCTCTCAGCACCACGCCTCGCTGCTTCACACCTTCATGTCCAAGTAGGATCCTTTACATCTACACATTTACCCATCAGTCAAATCTGAACAAACGTAGTGAAGAACCGTTTGTAACCTGTTTAAAAACCTGTTTTGTCTTTTGTGAATCTTCAGGAACAGTGGCGCGCTGGAGTCCTGCAGCAGTGCCAGTGAGAGGCTGAGCTCCACGCTGGAGAAGAAGTGCCACGACCAGCACTGATAACCCACCGACACACACACACACACACACACACACACACACACACACACACACACACACACGTACACTGTACTGACTTTGCCGTCTTCACTAACACAACCAACAGGGATCTTTACACTTGAAGAAGGGACTCAGACAGACACTTAATTCATCACCATTCCTGATTTGTATATTTTATGAAGGCAAAAACCGTGCAGAATGTCTTAGTTTTTATTTTTTCTACTAATGCTTGTGACTTATATTTTTATAGAAAATAAAGATAGAAATAATACCCAAAAGGTAACGTTTGGGTTAGTGTGTAAAGATGGAACTGATTGTAAGCTGGAGTGGAGCTAACACACAGGAACGTCAGGCTGGCACCTTTAGTATCGTCACTGTTTACAACAGAACATCTTCAGACAGGGTCCCTACACCGCTGAGGGAAATGTCCGGGTTTACAGGTTATTACAAGTTATTTCCAGGTCGTGATGAATTTAGAAGTTCTACTGTAAATTTGGTAAAAGCATGGCAGATATTCAGAGTGAGTAAAATCACAGCTAGAGATGTTCTGTATTTTTAGATACTTTATTTGTTGCTGTGAACACGCCTTTATGGAGTGCTGAGACAGAAATAGGAAGGCCAGTTATTCATGTCAATCATACTGAACAGAAAAACTACAATCTATTCATCCAAATAAATTAGTGAAAAATTAAGGGCTGACTTTATTGTTCCGTTCCACTGATAGGTGGTTTTCTTCAACAAACTTTTTAGTACAGCCTGTTCGATGGCAATCATCACACCGCTGCTCCTCAGCTCCAGTCGAGTCAGGGCGCTGCTGTGTGCATCGGACTGTGAGCAGGAATGGGCTGCATGCAGGAGAGCACCGCACGCTCGCCCATCAGCCTGAACACACAGCGTGTGTGTGTGTGTGTGTGTGTGTGTGTCACTGTGTCACCATGCACTGAGCTGACACTGCAGAGCTCAGGGGACCAGAATCACTTAAAGCTGATGTTTCTTTTCTCTTTTTTTGCGATCCATAATCAGTCTTATTGAAAATAAGTGGTCTTTTATATGACTTGAAGTTCAGCTGCTGGTTTTACCTCTTATAGCGTTTACGTGTTGGTGATATGGTGGAGCATTTAAGAGAAAAAGACGCTTTTATGGCCTTTAACATGGTTAACTTTAGACCGTGTGGACTGATTTTATATTGTTTATTTACCTGATATGGTGGTAATGTGTACTGAAAGCCCTGTCACAAATATAACTAATCAAACAAACCTTGACTGTGTATATCTTTGTATTTCTTTTTTTTTTTTAATGTAGAATAAAAGAGCTTCCACCTTCAGAGAGGATGAAACAGGAGCTGCGAGTTAAAATGTCTAGATACCTTTTATCATTTTGACGCGAACTATCCCTTTAACAGGCTCAGCGGAGCGTTGCGCGGACTCCAGAGGTGGGAGGTAAAAGGTGTGCGGGGGGGGTGAATGAAGGGATAAACGGAGTTTGTTTTGGATGGGGGACAGCCGGGGGAAGGGAGCAGAGACCGTGAGAGAGTCAGCGGCCAGTAGACGACCAACAGCTGGACGGAACTTCGACCAAAGCACGGTGAGTCCGCGTAAAAATGATTCCTATACTTACTGTAAATAATCAGATATTTGGATTTCAATCACCCGAGGAACACTTGGACACAGACAATTTGGAATGAAAGTTCTATACCCAAATTGTTAAATTATCCAATCGTGGACAAGCTGGTTTTATTTTGCGCATTTTAGCCTCAAAATAAATAAATATTTTTAAATTTTATCAGACTGAATACTTCATGTTTTGTAATGTATTAATTGCAGGAATTACAAAAATAAATGCAAAGCTGGTATTTTTTTCCAGATTAGATAATATTGCAGGTTTTTGTCATTTAAAATGACTGAATTAAACCGACATTACGCACAGAATAACATCAATATAATGTGGGGAAATGGGAAAAAAAAAAAGTTAGGTAATTTCTGGTAAAAGCATTTAGAGGCGACGGAGAGCAGTTTTTACTCACCGTCTCAGGGTTTTTTTTTCAAGGGGAAACGCATTTTGGCACAACACCGGCGGCGAAAGACACTGTGCGTCTTTGTGCGCAACCGGCGCGGCAGCTCCTCTGCGGTCTGGGCTGTTGATCCCCGGGGGGACGCGGACAAACAGTTCGGCCGGGAAAAATTCCTCCGTCTCTAGTTTCTTGGCCCCTCTCTGCTACGGGGGTCTTAGGAACAAAGCGTGGTATGCTGCTAAAATATCACAAAAGCCTACAGTGCAGTCTGCTGATTTCCATGCAAACTCGAAGTTGACTTCACATGTACATTAAAAATGAACTGTAACCGTATCTCTGTGCTGTAATTTACACAGTCCTCCCCGTCAGGTCCATCTCTGACGGGATTTGGCACAGCAGTTTTTTGACGGAAAGGTTTCAGCATGGCACCATTTCACCGTGCCAATATTTTGAGACCTCACATTTCAGAGTGTGGAGCTGTGGAGCTTTTCATGTCCATTCCTGCGGATCAAGACTGTTGATCCGACATGGGAATGTGGTTTTAAGGCATTCCAGTGAGGACTGGGGCAGTCGAATCTGAGCAAAATAAATCTAATCCCCAAAAGTACAGAATGGTGGAGATATTGTTCATTGAACTGAGCATCAGTACACACACCTTTCCCTGATATGGAGTTTTTCAGGCTGTGGTAAATGTATAAAATACTCGTGATTGTATCTAAGCTTGACATCCTCTTGACATATATTTTACATGCATGAGTAAAAAGTCTTCCTGCTGTTAACAAGTACTCAGATCCTGCAGTAAAAGTACCAATACATACTCAATAGCACATTCCTGTTTAAGATTGTACTTAAGTATTATCAGGTAAACTGTACTCAAAGTAATTAAAGTAAAACTACCCATTCTGCAGAAAAATGTACTTTGTAACAATGTATTATTATAAAGGGTGTTATTAGATTGTTTTTACTGTTGCATTAATGTGTATGGAGCATTTTACTTTTAGTTTTCTACATTCGACACAGTTACTGTTGCTTGTTTAGTCGAGTGGTTCCATCCTTGAGGTCGGGCCCCCTTTCCAAGCATCGCCGGATAAATGTGAGGAGTTGGAGACAAGAGAAAGCAAAGTTCTGTTCCCAAAACCTGTATTGATTTTTTTTGGACATTGGAGTGGAAATGTCTCTTTGACGGAACAACTCTTGATATCTGAAACTGGACAAGTGGCCCCAACCAGACACTGCTTTTTTGAGGGGTCACAAGCTAACAAGGTTACATTGTATTTTTGAAGGTTATTGTTTTTTTAATGCAAAATATGTATCTATCTAACCATTAAATAAAGGTTTCCCTTCAAAATATTTTAAAGGGAAATAGTAATGGAGCAGAAGTATAAAGTAGCATGAACTGGAAATAACTAGCAAGTACTTTACTTTTACTTAACTTGAGCAAATGTATTAGGTTTGTTTCCAATTAACTATGCAAAACAGTGGCTCTGAGCCAGAGAAGGTCTGTGGTCCTGGTCCACCCGCCTAATTTACTAATTTATATGGAACAAAATTAAATAATTAGGTTCAATTGATATTTACAGGCCAGCAGGTTGTGAAGGTCTAGCAGCAGGTTTCTATACATTGATCATTAGATCATTTGATGCTGAAACAGTTCATTTCAAAGAAACTATGCAGGGTCAGCAATGTGCAGAGAGAAGAAGAGTGAACGCTGTTGATTCAGTGTTCCCTCCGTAGATACTGCCATGGCCAAAAAAGTGAACTGTGAGGTAAGTGGTGGATCTGTTAGGGTATCTGCATCTAAAAAGTCAAAATGGCAGCCAGTTGCTGGTGACTTGTCACTGGCCAAGAGGAGCCTCCGTAAAGACCCCATGCAATAGTGTGAATGAAGTAAAAGCTGTTATTTTCCCACTCAGATGTTCTCCCAGCTCTGTCCCGACACCCTCTGGGTCCTGCTGCTCCTCTGCATCCCCGCGGCACTCACGGGAAAATGTCCACATCAGTGCGTCTGTGACCAGATCCAGCTCACTGTGACCTGCGTCAACAGGAACCTGACCCAAGTTCCTCCTGATGTTGAGGAGGTCTCTTACTCGCACACGCATTGCGACATTTCTACAGCAAGTTTAGTTCCGATCTGGTTCTGTCTAACGTGGGACCCCCCTTTCTTCACAGATCACGGTGAAATTAGACCTTCGAGGCAACGACATCCAGGAGCTTCCCACCGGGGCTTTCAAACACACTCCCTACCTGACTCACCTGTCGCTGCAGCGCTGCAACATCCGCAGGGTGAAGGAGGGTGCTTTCCGCGCCCTCGGTCGCCTGGTCTTCCTCAACCTGGCCAACAACAACGTTGACATCCTCTACCAGGTCTCACAGTTGTCACAACTGTCATTTATTCCATCATTTCTTTTAGTTTGTTGGGTTCTTTTTTTAAATTCTGGATTGCCCCTCTTTATTATAACAAACTTTAACCCCACCACACCCACAAGCTTTTACAGTTCAGCCATGCTGAACTTTTTGTCTTCCTTCGTGCTTTGCGAGCCCAGGAGTCGTTCGACGGCCTGTCCTCGCTGAAGCAGCTCATGATCGACCGCAACCGCGTGGAAGAGATCCAGCCCGGAGCTTTCTCTCAGCTCGGCTTCCTCAACCTTCTATCTCTGACGCACAACCAGCTGGTCTACATCCCCAACATGGCCTTCCAGGTAGCAAAACTACCTCAAAACGGCAAACTGAAAAGGTGGTTTGAGGACATGTGGAAATGTCTCCTGTTGTTGGAGTGTCACTTTTTAAAAAAGCCAACATTTTCTCCCTCCAGGGCTTGCAGAACATCAAATGGCTTCGTCTTAGCCACAACTCTCTGAACTACCTGGACACCGAGGCCTTCGCCAGTCTGTTCACGCTCACGCGTCTCAGTCTGGACCACAACGAGCTGCAGTTCTTCCCCACTGAGACCATGACCAGGTAGGCTGCCTGGCATGGTGACACTAGCCAATGGCCTCTGTGATCTGCCACAGAGCTACACATTCTCTAATGAGGAATGCTGAATATCTACTGAAGGGCAAAAAGACATAGGTTAACATCACAGTTGCTTTGTTTCTTGGAAAGAAAATAGATCCGATCGCTCTAATATAGTAACATTCGATTGGACTAATAAAGCTAAAATTTCCATCCTAATTTTCCACACTTCTCCGCCTCGCTATCCAGACTGCCAGAGTTGACTCGCCTCGATATGAGCTACAACCCAATGACTTACCTTGGAGAAGAGGTTGTGTCCATGGCCAAACTGACCCACCTCTTCCTGGACCACATGTCCCTGCAGGACATGGCCAACACGGCTGTATCGAAATCCCCCAGCCTCATCCACCTGGACATCAGCTACAACCAGCTGCGTGTCATCCAGCCCTTCTCTGAAGGTTCGCCCAAGCTGGCACGCCTCAACCTGGCTGGGAACCCCATCTACTGCAACTGCTACCTGCGTCCACTCAGGTACAGCGGACCATTGTGGATTTCAAAATGATGGCTGACTCACTAGGCCTCAGATGCTTTGAGTTCGTCAACCAAAAGGTCCTGATCCTCTTTCTTTTCCTTCACCTCACTACAGGGAGTGGTCGATCTGGAGCAAGGTAAAGCTGATGGGGACATGTGGAGGACCGGCCCATATGTCAGGAGAGAACCTGGAGGCCGTTCACCCTCCCGAGCTGCGCTGCCAGAGCCAGGAGGCCATGTTGAAGGCCGAGTATGAGGATGCAAACAGGATCACGCCGCCACCCATGCCAGAGCCAGAGAACAAGGTCAAGTGTCCTGCCAACTGCGTCTGCGAGGTGAGCGGGCTGTATGACGTTTTGTGATTTAAGTCTTGTGGCTGCATAGCATTTTTAAATCTTTAGCTTATAGCTTCCTGGCTTTAGCTTCATATGTAGCCTATAGACATGAGAGTGGTATTGATTTTCTCATCCAACTCTTGGTAGAAGAGTGAGTTCTGTAAGCGCATTTCTTAAAATGACTATTCCTTTAAATCACTGAAACATTTTCTGCCAAAACACACATCTGTAGCTGTTGAAAACTTGTGTCTGTGCCCCCTCCCCCTCTCCCCATCACCTCCCTGTCTTCAGGCCGAGACGCATCACTCCTCGTGTGAGAACCGCGCTCACACCAAAGTTCCTCGGGGTTTCTCTCCCAACACGCGTCTCCTCGACCTGCGCGGCAACCACTTCCACTACATGCCCAGCAACAGCTTCCCCGGCGTTGCCCAGGTCGTGTCCCTCCATTTGCAGCGCTGTAAGATCAGGGAGGTGGAGGGCGGGGCTTTCAGTGGAATGAAGGGACTGATCTACCTGTACCTGTCGGAGAATGACCTCACTAACCTCAGCCCTGACGCCTTTAAAGGTATTTACAATGCAAAATTAAATTAGATTAGAGTCGTCTCGCAATACTCAAGTTCAATTTCTATAATCTAAATCTGCAGGCCTCCCTCAGCTGACTTACCTCCACCTGGAGAAGAACCACTTCACCGGTTTCCCCAAAGGAGCCTTCAAACTTGTTCCCAGCCTGCTGGCGCTTCACCTGGAGAACAACTCCATCCCCAAGCTGGAGCCGGACGTCTTGACCGGAGCCGAGGGCCTCAGGGCCCTCTACCTCTCCGGGAACGCCATCGTTCACGTGTCACCCAGGGCCCTGGACCAGGCCGGTGACCTCGATACGCTCCACCTGGGAGGAAACAGGCTGAAGGAGGTGCCCACAGAAGCGCTCAGCAAGGCGGAAAACCTCAGAGACCTGAGGCTGTCTGGGAACTCAATTCGCTGGGTGGGGCCGAATGCTTTTCGACCGCTGGGGAGTTCACTGAAGGAGCTGTATCTGGATAACATGGGACTGGAGAAGGCGAGTGGGCTCTTGATGTGCTGCTACACTTTACAACAGCAGCCTTCCTCTTCTTTTTTTCTCTAACCTGCACATTTATTCCAGCCTTAGAATCAGCAACAAATTAATTCCCAGAATTTATTGAACAATTGACTGACCTGATCTCTCTTACTCCAGATGTCACAGACCTCCCTGGCAGGTCTGGGTGCAGGGTTGAGGAGCCTCTTCCTGGAAGGCAACCAGCTGGAGGAGGTGCCCAACCTTCACCCTCTCACTTCTTTGGAGGTCATCAACCTGGCCGACAACCCTCTGATGTGTGACTGCCCTCTGCTGCCACTACGCATGTAAGAGGATTGAATGGGGTTTGAACAGGAGTCTTTAAAGCCTGCAACGTTTTACAAGGGATGATTCTTTATGTATAGTCTACCCAATGAATAAATAAAAAACGGCATAGTTGCAGCTATGCCTGTGTCATATTTTAGCTTCTAGTACCAGTAGTTGAGATGGATTTTTTAGTGTTTGGGCATTTTTAATAAAATCATTTGAGTTTACCTCTTCATCTAGGTGGATTGAAAAAGTCAACCTGAAGGTGCGAGCCACCTGTGCCAATCCCCCTGAGCTGCGTGGTCGCAGGGTCAAGGACGTCCACGTCTTCAAGGCCTGTCCCGGGGGAGAGAGCCTCCCCGCCCCCCCCGCCGTCACCCCGAAGCCCGCCAAGGCGCCCAAGGCAACCAAACCCAAACCGATGCACCTCAACAGCCTTCGGAAGGTCAAAATGCTCAAAGCCAAATCCAAACTTCGCAAAAGTCTGAACACAAAACCGCCTGTAGCCAAGAAAACCACCAAGAGACGCAGCACGGCCTGAACCTGTCTTTTATGCTGATGTTTTGATAAACCCATGGATTCAACTCTCTGAAACAGTGACCTGCTGAGGCTGTTTCACATCTCCTGACAGACCGCTTTCCATCAGCGAGTTTATATTTTTTCGGTGCATTTCAGATTAATGGTGTTTTTTTTAATCAAAGCAACCTATTCTGAGCACTTTTTGTCTTCCTATTCACAGCAGTAGATCAACATCACCAGCTCATCCAGCTGTTTCATTAGCTTTAGTTACTTGCTCTAAAATGATGCAGCCTTTGGCTTTATGCTAGTTATCCTTAACCACTACACCACAACTGCAGAATGTACTGATTTAGAAACTTTGCAACAACATTCAAATCAGCAAGTTGAGATTTTTTATTTTTTTTAATCAGTGACTTCATATTTACAAAAAAAAAAAAAAAAAAGACATCTGGATATAAAACAGGAAAAAATAAAACATTACAACAAACATTTGTCTGCTATGCCAACCCAGAATTCATATTTACAGGTTTGATGTGAGAATAGACATGTTCAGCTCAGCTAAAGCAAAATAAGTCGAAGTGTAGTGGAACTTGTCAACATAGAGAACGAGGTAGTGCCATAACTGGCTAAGCTGGTCCTTGTGAACTACATGCAGTCATGATTTCAAGGTATATTAAGTATTTAAAGTTATGACTCATAAACCCAAACCCCGTTTCCAATATTTGTGGTCAGTGAATCTTCATCAATAGCTATTCAATGGATCTACAGTGTAGAATAATTACTTCCTCTATACAGTACTTTTCACTGGTAGTGGCAGAGTCCGCCATTCCTGCTCTGGATTCAAACAGCCTATTTAAACCCAAGATTCACAGGAAACATGTGCATGTTGCCTGTGCATCTTAAGGACCATAACTGTATCCCTTTTTTATTTGCTCTAAATATTCCAGCCTGCTTTTGTCTCTCATTTAGTTATTTTCTTTGTTGTTTTTTTCCACAATGATCTCATCTTACTCCATCACAGCCAGCCCAATTCTCTTCACTTGTCCACCTTTCCTGCAGTTGTCGTCTTCATTCTTTCAGCAGACATACTCTTCCCATGTCTCCATGCCAGCAGCCTCTCCTGTTGTGTCCTGCTCTGTGTTGCTCTCTGAAACTTCCTCCATGGCACTGTCTTCTCCTTGGCTCGGCTTGTTTTCGCTCTGCTCCATGTTGCTGTCACCACTAAAGCTCTCTTCGAACGATTCACACTCTTCACTTCTTTCTACTGCCGGTTCACTTGGCTTCATCTTTGCATGCGCCAGGTTTTCTCTGCTGCTCTGCTCTGGGGACTGATGTAGTCTCGACTTACTCTGCTCCCCTCTCGCCTCCTCAATGATTATACCAAGAGGGGCTTGTTGAGGGTTGTCTGGAGGTTCAATGGGGGTCTCCATCTCCACCTCCTCCACTTTCACCTGCACTGCAAAGACTACGGAGACAGAATTATGTCACCAAATTACCAAAACTGTCTCAGAAAAATGAGAATAAGTGAGCATCATGTCGTACAAGTCTGTCCACTTACTTTCCTGCTCCTCTGGCTCAGTCTTGGGCTGGATGACAGGCTCTTTTGGAGGAAGAATGTGGTCTTCTAGCACAGGAGGACCATCAGTGCCACTGACCTCAGGCTGCTGACCAACATCATCTTTACCTTGGTCCTGAGAGAGCCTCTTCTTTGCATATTTCTTTTCTATTGAAAACAAAAGCAGATGAATGTTATGTAGTTATATAACTATCAGATGTAAGAAAATACTAAATGTGAATCTATTTTCTGTGGCAAGACACAGGACTCCATGTACATTTCCGAGTCAAAACTTACTCCTTTTCCCATACGCTAGGGCCTTGTACTTCTTGGTCTGTGCCGTCTGGTTTTCCAAATCAACTGGAAAACAGAATAAAAACACTCGTCACTTTTATACAGGGTCAAAATCATCCACACAGCGCCAACCACCAGTCACTCAAACTGGAGGGTTTTTCTGCCTCATTTGGTCTTTGATTCCACCGCCTCATGTAAACATTACCTCTACAACACAGAATGGGGGGGGGTATTGTTATGTTATTGAATGGGGCTTTTACCGAGTCCTGGAGGAGGCTGGAGCTGGTAGCGCATGAGGTCGCACCAGCCAACGGGGTAGATGTCCGGGGACTGGTGGTCGACCCACTGGTCAAACTCATCCTCCCAGCCGTCGAAGTGGATAAGCAGCAGGCGGCCCACGTAGCGCTTCACGGTGGCCACACACACCAGGCGCGGCTCCATCAAGTCCACCGCCTCCAGCTTCATGTTGGGGGAGAAGCTGTGACCCGGGTAGTCCTGAAGAAATAGACAAACTGTAGTTTTCTTTGTGGATCAAATACAACCTTCTGACTCAGGCAAACAAAACTGTGGATGTGATCACATTAATATGTTGCTAAACAGAGAGCGCAAAATGCTGCACAAGGTTTGGACTTCCTGTCTTACGGCGTTAAACAGTCGTGCCGGTGCAGCTTTAGCGTTGGTCTCCTTCAGGTATTTGTCCCAGGTGAAGGTCTGAGAGTCATAGCCTGCCAAGACACAGAGAAACCAGGACGTAGCTTCATTAACAGTGTACTGCTTGAGTTTTTACCCCTGCTTAAATAGACGACACCTTTCTAGAAACAGGATGATGAAGCAAAGACTGAATGGAGAGGCATGCTCATATTTACCTTGAGGTACCGTGAGAGGGATGTTGTTCTTTTTACAGAAGTCTACAGGAAGGATGGCATGAGACGAGGCGTGGTAACAAAACCAATCAGAGCCCTTGTTTGACGCGGTGCCATCGATACCCACCATCAGGTAGCCATCGAACAGCACCTGGGAGGAGTGGAGGGCGGCAGAGACACATAAGAAAGACAGACAAACGCAACACACAAAACCAAACCAAGCAAAGAACAGCAGTCTTACCTTGTGCACAGTGGAGACACAGATGCTTCCCAGGTTGAGAGGGTCAATCGCCTCCAGCTTCACTCCTTCCTCAAAGAAACCTCCTTCCATGTAAACGAACCTGGGCTGCAGATCACACAGGGCTCGTCAAGAGTTGTGCTGAAGCAGCGCCATGTAGAGTGTGACTTGTGAGTGCAGATCATTGTCACATCAACGATGGCCAAAAATACAAAATCATTCATTCAAATAATGATTTGTGATTATGAAATGAGATCGAAATAGAGTCGAGTGGTTTTTATGACTTATTGTATTAGAAATAAGTCATAAAAACCACTTACTCTTCTTACTTATATTAACATATTCTGTTAAAGCTACACTGTTATCCAGTGTTGAATTACCTTCAAGGTTTCTATGGACGGACATTTTGGTAATAAATAATCCAATGCCGCTTTTGCGTCTACTTTTGCTTTTTGAATTCATTTGATTAATTACTTCTCGAGCGATGACATTCTCCTTACCTTCTTAAAGAGCAGGAATGAGCTATCGCAGTTACCTTTCCAAACGCTGGACGCAGCTTCCACACTGGTTGCTATCATTAAAAAAAGAAGCATTTGTTATTTATTTTTATTGCCATGTAAACACACATCTTAAAGTTGAAAAGGTGAATTCAAGACAAGCGTGAAATGTGGGTGTCTGGTTTGTACCACTCTCTTTCCCCATATTTCCATTTATTTTGTTTCTATTGCGACATATTCACGCATGTTGCTGTTGTTCTTCTACTTATCTCGTCTTCTGTGTTTCTGTCTATATCGCGTGCTGTCAAAAAACCAAATCTGTGACCTACCAGGTCCTTTAATGGCATGACCCACTTTTCTGGACCAGCCTATTGGGTGCAAGAGAGGACTCCACATGTGGCACCAGAAATCAGAGAGCGTATTTTTGGTGGCGTCACTTTGGTCTTCGCACACCAGCCGCAGGCGGCCGCCGGTAATGGATTCTACGGTGGCCAGGCGGGTCCGACTCACATGCTTGGGGTCCACCACCTCCACACGCATACCCGCTTTGAAAGAGTTCCTCATGTTCTCTGCCAACTACGGAGAGGACAGACCGAGGTGAATTCATTCAGTGGAATTAAAACACAATGGTGTTTGAATTCATGACACTCTTCACAGGTACAAGACAGATGGGTTACCATTCATGAGTCAAATGATTCAGCATTCAGTTTTACCTTCAGGTAGAAGTCAACAGGTAGAGTGTGAGCCCCCACAAGCTTTAACATCAGGTAGTCTTTCCAATCTGGGATGTTCTGCTTCACATCTATGGACACACAGTTTGTCAAAGTGGAACATATGCTATTGCTAAATCCTGATTTTAATAAATCACTCTGTTTTTTTTCTCTTTCTATTTCCTTGAGTGTGAACCCTCACCTTGTGGTGGCACCAGCAGTTTGCTCGTCATGGCGCACCATCCAATCGGGTTCACCTCCCCCGATACGAGGCTGCACCAAAAGTCTCGGCTGCTGTCGTGTTCAAAGCCTTCGTATCTCAACAGGGCTTTGTATCCTGGAGATACGGGACGGAAGGACATTAAACAGGCCGAACCATTAATTGCGACCAACATGCAGTTTTGAGTTTGGTGAGGTACGTGAATGTTTCGCTCCCGGCCAGCATGACCTAAGGGGGACACTGTTGGTTTGTCATTGTCGTGGCGTGTTAGATGCTGTAGATTAGCGGAATAGTGTGAAACCATTGGCAGGAATGTGTATCGCTTCACACGTATGCGCGCACATGCACATAAGAGATCAAGAAAGTGGGGACCCACTCAGGGAAAAACAGATCCACAGCGCTAACTAGGGGTAAAAACTCCGTGGAGAAGCTTTAAGATCGGTAACAAATATGAAACTAATTGCAACAAAGGCACAAATTCATAATCATAAAACAGATCATTCCATGGTAGAAAGGCCTGTCAAAATAAAGACCGTCAGACAGATGGACACACCTGCAATCTGGATGACAGTAGCAATCCAGTAGACTTTACTCGGCAGCACTGCGTTTGTGTTCAGGACCTCCACCTTTATCCCCTGAGTGACGTCATCCCACTGGGCACACAGCGGAGCCTGCAGGTGGGAGGTCAGATGTTCGCTTACAGATCATCAGTGTGAGGACTTTTACACTTTCATACATTCCCCGGGAATCTCAAGTTATTCTCAAGACTGCTCAGAGTTTACTTCTTTTTTGCAACGTATTCTCTTCTTTATATGTTGGACTGGGTTTTTTCATGCCGTTTGAAATGCTGTTTGAATACAAGTCTAAGTTTTTACATAAGTACAGAGGCAAATCCCAGAAACATTTTTTTTTTCTAATTACACTTCACAGATGGGACTCACATGTCTGAAGCAGGACACTGATGCAGCCAGAGAGGTTTCCTTCTCCAGGTAGGCGCCCCATTCAAAAACTGCAGGCGGCGCTACAGAATAGAGACGACAGAGGAATCACACTGCCGAAGTCAGATTGTGTGTAAACGTACTGTATGCAGCTTCTAATATTCCCGAACAAGCACCAAATACCGGTGAAGTTGGTCTTTGCAGGATAAATCAATGTTCATTCACAAACTCGTTTGGCCCGGTTCAGACCGTGTATCTTGTCGAGTAAACACTTGACTTCAGAATGTGTCTCAAATGTAGATACTCCTTGAAATCTGACTTTGTACTGCAATGAAGTCATTTTGATTCCTTGTGTGTGTGTTCAGTGGCCTCACCATTCTGTACTGTCGAGGCTGGAGGGGGTTTGTTCACTTTGTTCAGCACGGTGGCTTTTTTTGAGGGAGGCCTTCCCTGAAGAGAGAAGCACAGAGGAGGATTGAGCAAAGTGGTCTCATCGTCCTCAATTTTTGTGGCCATATTTAGTCATATGATTGATTTCAAGCTGTTGACATGTACTGCAATGGAGTAGAATGTTGAGTCAGATCCAATGACTGCTGTCAAAGGTGAACATTTTTGAAAAAAAGAGTTTTCACAAATTCTGGTTATATTTCCCGATAAGCAAAGAGAACACCGGCAATCAAACAAGTTGGTTCTGCATTGACAGGTGAACAGCAAGATTTTGAAAGTGAAAATGAGGACTACTAGTAGCTTTAAAATGCCAAAATCAATCAAAAATAAAACTTCACACAGAAAGAAAGACCTGGAAACATTTTCTCCCTTTATTGCAGAATAAATAAAATAACATCCAAGAATATTAGAAATGTGTACAATCATCTATTTCCAGCCTGAAAATGCAAGAGACATATAAAACACACACAACAAATTACTTCTACAGTTACAATGAGAAGGTTTGGCATTGGGCTGCAACTAAGAATGGTTTTCATTATCAATTAATCTGCCAATGATCTTCTCAACACATCAATTTACTGTTTGGTCAGAAAATAGCAAATGTAAAAAATTAGCAATTTTTCCAGAACCAAAGTTGATGTTTCAAATTGCTCCACAACAGCAGCTTTACTTTACTGTCAAAAAAATCCACATTCAAGAAGTCAAGAACCAGTGAATGTTGTCAATTTTGCTTAAAAATAATTGACTTTAATCGGCCATATTTAGTTTCCAGCTCTTAGTTTTTCTACAATTATTGTCAACAAAATGATCTTAGAAACAAAATGTTTATTTAATAAATTCAAAGTTCAGATAAATAATTAAATGAGAAAAAAACAAATCAGGTTATTTTATATTATTATTTTTTATTACTTTTTATATTAATTACATTCTAAAATTGAAGGAATTCTGCTTTTAAGTTCATCATCGGTTGCTTTGCAGGTCTTGTCCCGTCTTTGCGTTTCAGGAGAATAGAACGCATGGCCACGCGGTTTTACACACTAATCATCATACCTACCTGTTGATGCAGGTAAGTGACGCCTACGGATGAGTTCCCTGTCTCAGAGGTGTGCGCGTGTCCGGTGTGTCCGGCGGCCTTGAGGAGCCGGGCCCGGCGGGTCGGCTGATCCAGGGTGTCGTAGCGGGCGTCCGGCCCAAAGTGCTTCTTACTAACTTGGTGGAGAACGTGGAGCGGAGTGTTTACAGCCATGTTGAGAGCAAACAGCCCTCGGGTCAGTGTCTCTGGGTCGCCGAGTGGAAACCGATGACAGACGAGGTTCCGACGTTTGTAGTTCCACCACGCATCGACGCAAAAACGTGTGCACCATTGAAGCCGCTCTATTGCAACGTGAACAGAGTCAGACAGCCTCTCAGGCCGGGGCAGTGACTTCAAACCCAGCGCGCGCCGTTTCTTTTTCTTCTCCTTTTTTCTCTCCAATGGGGACAGGGGTTGTTTCTGCGGAATACTGCCACCATGTGTTCGTAACTATGAGTTAATATAAGTACATATAAATATACAAAAAATAAATGAATACATTTGGTATACCGAACGTCTCTCGGTGTACTTCCGAAGATATTTGTTATCTCAGGTTGAATTTTGTGTTTTGAAAAGAATGTCCATTCGATGGATTGCTGCAGCCATAGAAACACAGAGTCTTGGATTTCAATGCCTCTCTCAGTGAAACATCACATGGCTTCAACTACAGCTTTTCTTTGTCAACTTATCTTTGGCTGTTGTACTGACACAACATTAAACTTTGCAGAAATCACCTTTGGCTTTGGGAAATTGTGCCATTTTTTGGTATTTTTGTGACATTTAAGATTAGTTGAGTAATTGAGATTACATGTAAAAAATAATTATGAGTTACAGACTGTAGTAAATATATGACCCTGTCAGAAATAATGGAATAAGATGACTTTTCTAAACATAAAGCTACTTAAAAAGAAACAAAACTGGATGTTAAGAACTTCAACAAAGGGGGGCTTTGAGCAGCACACACTAACCTTTACCAAACCTTTAATTTTCAAGTCTGAACAAATCACACCAAAACAATCTGGGTAGAAATAGTAGCAGGATGTTTTTAGCTGAGAGTCCTCTTTAACGACTAAGGAAGCAACAGCAATCACAAAAACCACAAAAACATGGTTTCATCCTGATGCTTCTCAGTACCAAAACAAGAAGTAGCACACCACATTTTCTCAAAGTGTTGACAATCTGCATTTCACAATGTACTCATTTAATCTCTGCACTCAAGCAAGATACGCTCTGCTGATGTTGACTGCATGTTAAACTCCAGTCTCCGATTTTCATTTAACCAAGCTGTCTGCGTAGCAGCAGCTTAGAGGTGACGATGCACTCAGCTGCGTTATCACTCGTGGCCCCTACCGGCCAAGGGCCGGCTAAGAGTAGTGAGTGAGGAGTCAGCAGGCGGCCAATGGCGGTATGAAACAGGCAATAACATGTGTTTTGAGTAAGTGTGAAGCACCGCAACCACCAGAGGTCCTCGAGCATGCAGCCATAACTGGCCTAGCCACGGACAGAGACAGAGGCGCACAGTCACACATGTGAGCGTTCGCATGATTCTACTGGCAGCGATCATAATAAAGCTGTGGGTAGCTGCAAACAAGTACAAAGTTTTGCTATTTGGTGAAAAATAAAGCTCTGCTTCAAAACTAAAAGATGTTGTTACCTGCAGTCGTGCCAGTATGGAGGACTTCTTGGAGTTCGATGAATAGGAGCGTGAACAGGAAATACTGCAGAAACGCTTGGTCTTTGAAAAGAAGGTGCTCGTAGTGCCGGTGGTGCCACACATCTCACAAACCACTGTAAAGATAAATAAATACATGCATTTTGTATAGAACATCATCAAATCTTATCAACAGTCCATTGAGCATAAACAGGTCAGATTTTTATTCATTTAAGTGTTTTGTGGAGAACGTTTATCGCTCCTTTTGACTCTCTTTAAGATCATTCAAATGAACAGAAAATTGACATTCTCTCTCTCAACTCTTGTTCTCTCTTGCTCCTCACTTGCACCTCACCTGGTCGTTCTTTATTTTTTTCCCCCCGCTTCATCCCTTCTCCTCCCGTCAGATGTTCTTTGTCACCTCGTCCATCAGTATCATCAAACTGTGTGGACGCCACTTCATTATTTTCTGCCTGTGAAGAGGAAAAAACAAGAGTGGTAAATAGATTGTGTTAATGTTACTTTAAATAACAAATGCAAACAACAAAAGAGGCGTGTTTAAAGCTCTCAGAACGACAGACACTCACTCTCTCTGCAGTGAACCAAGGTAATAACTACTCACACTTGTGGTACGCTCTCTTGGTTCAGCAGTGATGCCTCGACGCTGGATAGCAGGCAGGCAGTTACTGCAGCCCACTCCGTTGCAGGAGACACAGTGCGGACGGACGAACACAGTAGGAACAGCTCCCATCTTCAGAGTCAGAGCTGCTGTGGCTGGTCGGGGCTCAAAGTACTCCTTGCCAAAATGCTCGCTGCAGAGGTGAGAGTTAGGCATGGCGACCCACTGGGTGCGAGTGCGCTGGACCTGCTTCTCCCATTTGCGAAACTCCTCAGGGTCCTTGGGGAATCGAAACAGCCTCACCCCATCTTCAGCAGTTTTGCCGCACCCGTAAGCCACACAGTGGTACGGCATCCTGTGTTCTGCTCACGAGTGGACCACCAACACCTCAGAGTACAAAGCAGGATCTACAACCGATGCATCCTTTCTTCTTTTCAGCTGTAGGGTGTTGTTCTCTGAGCTCTGCAGAGGACAGTGATGATTGTGTGTTACAATTAGCAGACAATTTTCTAAATCTACCACCAAATAACACACTAAATGCTAGTCACAAGGAGCAGACACAGGCGGAGCTGTATGACAGTTTAGATCTCTATGCTGGTTCGTGCTCTAATATTGCTTGGTCTTACACGCTGCATTAAGTGATACAGTAACTCCTGCTGAAATGATTGGTGAATAAAGCCTCTGTCTGGCTGTTATATCTACATTAGAAAGTCTTTAAATGCTCTACATTTCCTCATCTGTTAATATTGTCTGTCATAAACAATATGAAAATTGTGTTTGATTGTTTATATCGAACTAATTGGTTAAGAATTACAGTCTGACAACCAAAATATGTACATTGAAACGTTACTTTCTTTCAAGGCAAACTTCTACAAATGAGAACTTGGAAACATTTGATGAATAAGTGCACACAAAGTAACGTTATTACTACGCGTAGCATGCAAAATGAATGATGCTGTCAAACTCACTGTTTTGAACAAATCGTTGCAGCCAACAGGTTTATAAACAAGCTGATCAAAACACAAACAAGACTAGCTCACATGCTACATGCAAGCTAACTGCTAATAGTGCTAATAGCACGTTTGTGCTAATATGAAACACTTGTTATCACTTTAAGTGGCTACTTACATATATACTAATAATCTATGCCCTAATTGAAATGTTTAATATGACTGCAAAACTATTGGGTATAAGTTGTTAAGTTTTATCTTTCCTTGGTAACGGTAGGTGGGCTCTTTCGTTAGCTCCACCTGTATCGTGGTCGCCTAACTTAGACGTCATCGTCATCTTACTTCTGGCGCAAGGAGAAAGCATTATGGGAGATGAGGTTTTAGCAGATTTGGAAGGGAACACTAAATTCTTCTACTCTCAAATAAACCGTGGTGGAAATTAACTATGAACATTTACGAAAGCACTGTACTGAAGAACAATGTTGTACTTTCAGTATTTTCTTCACATGCCACCCTCTACTTCCATCTGCTACATCTCAGAGAAATGTTGTAGGATACTTAATGCACTACATTTTCTGACAGCTAGTTATTTTCAGAGCTTCAAGTAAAACGGGCCACTACTCCCTTTATTCACATGTTGACATGTGTATCAGCCGGTATCAGCAATCTTTGCTATTTATTCATATGTATGTATTATTTATTTAAGCATGTTATACTGTATCAGTTGTGATTTTACTGTTTTATTAATATAGTTGGGTTATGCATGCAGACCTATAGTACTCCAATAATATTCCTGCTGAAAAATGATAGGGTTATGGTGGTTTCCTGTGTTATTAGTAGCCTATAGTATCACTATGTGATGTATTATAGGAATGTCTACAGCCTGGAATCAACACCTGACAGCCAGACATGGTGTGAGCTGATCATTCAGGTTTTATGAGCTGTGTCCCAGTCAGGATGCTTCAACATTTTAGATTATGCAGCAGGATAAAGAGATACATTCTGAATTTCTACAATGAATAAAAGATACTAGAAGATATTGGGTTTGGGGGGGTCCTCTCCCAATAAAAAATTTTTTTTTTTGACTTAAAACTTAAAATTTTACATAATTTTGGACCATTATTATTATTATTATTATAGAACACACCCCAAAAGCTTAACGACAGTTGAATAATTAATTTTTCTATTTAACACATGACAGCATTTCTCTGAACGTTTAAATCTTCTAAAAATGTTTGCCTTGTAAAATAATATTATATAAATCAAAAGAGCAGACACAGAAAACTTTTAAATAATGTTTAATCACTTATATTTCTTTAGAAATAAATTATAGCACATTATAATGCATATTCTCATTATATTTGCAGCCACCAAGACGTATGCTGTTTGCTTTTTCAACACATAAATAATGGGAAAAAATCGGATAATCCAACAGTCATGGTGAGTAAAAACACCTTCAGTCTGAATGTTGACACGAAAACTAAAAAAGTACCTATACTTAATTTTGTGACTATATTTGTGAGCATACTCAGAGTTTGAGTAGAGTTTGGGCATACTATTATATACTACTATACTAATACTACTACTATATTATTGATATCCAGAAATAACTTTCAATACTGACATCACAATCAATAATAAATGACAATGAAACGTTAGTTACAAAGCATACTTGTCTCCTTTAAGTATGTATTCAGTTAGCGACCGCTCCATGGTTTCCATCACCTGCTGCCCAGCATCCTCGTGTCTGTGCCAACATCACAGCAGCTTACTCTCGGAGGATTTCTTTCATGCTGTTTGATGATTATGGACTCCGTGTTGAACTGACCGTGCTGGTGGCAAACCCTGAAGAAAGCAATGTTTGTCAGTGGCTCCGTCCGCAACTTTAGTGTGGAGCGAGATATTTTGACAGCTTCATGTAAAATTGCATGGTTATGATTACTCCTTGTGGTTTTGGTGATCTTGGGACCTTTCCATTCGCACTATCATATGGCCAAAATATACCCTTGGACATGTTTATCCATGCAAAACTATCCCTATAGACTGGATTTGTATTCAATTCAATCTACTGTGGATAGTAATGATCATCCTAATATTTTTGGGGACCCCTTGACCTTTCCTCTTGTTGCACCTTTGTCCAATATTTCCCCATCTTGCAAAATCTAACATGCAGTAATCAAATCTCAAAACTCGTGCTCACCAGAAGAACCCTTTACACTGACAGTAAATGACCCCAAGACTTTTACTTAGGCCACCCTCTGGACAAACTTTACATGTTTAGCATCACTATTGGGTTATAAGAAAAGCAAGAGCAAAATCTAAAACCTGTTGTTCATTCCATCCAATACTTTCAAACTACAGAGCTTAATAAACACTGCAACTTTTAGCAGCAGGTTTTGGGATTTAGAATTTTAGTCTTGTTGTCCTCGGTGCCAGTTTCTGATTACAAGCACAATCTGTGGTCTAAATCCAAATCCAAAACACAGAATTGGAAACTGTCTTCCAAAATAGCTTGATAGGCCTATAAATACAGAAGGAAATAGCTGAATTTAATCCAACGATGCACACTAATGTTGTTCAATGCATGTTAACATCAGTAAGGTTTGTCAAAATAGGAGCTAAACTGTGCTCTCATTTAAGATCAGCTGAGAGATTGAGATGTTTTAAATGTGTGTTAAAAACTGACTGGGCCTTTATCACAGCAAGCATAGGCCTTTTTTTCACTCAATATGTTTGACTTCTTGTTGTAAGAAAAGCACAGGTGTTACTAATGATGGCTCTGTTGTATTCAAGTGTCCTAACATGCCATAGCAGTGTAACAGTGAGCCAGCATGCACAATACAAGGACCCTGAAACTGAAGGAGCTAAATGGAATTCGGACATCATTAATTTGAGTTATTTACGTCTGGGCTTTTCCTGTGACCTGACAATACGTCTTCAGTCTTCAGTTTTGTAATTTGACAGTGACACATTGTTGGTTTACCGTGGTAGGCATGGGCCACTTGATTAAAAGAAGTCTTTATGTTTGAATTTAACCAAAAATGTGGATGTATGGTTCCTGGTTATGGCTCGTTTACTGACCTGAGGAGGCAACTACTACAGGACATTGAAGGCCTCAGGTTCACAGTGTGTCCATTGATCTGTTTGAATTTGCTTGAATGCATTTGTTCATCTTTGGTGATTTATAAGCATCTGAAACTTAAATAATTGTTTCAATCCTTTACATTCATGGATATTTCAATTGTCTTTATCTTGTTTCTTTCTGTACCACATTGGAAGCCTCCCCCCCTCAATCTTTTTAATGTAAGCACAATATCTGCAATGGTACAAGGGCCAGGCATGACTAAATGTTAAATATCATATTTTTAGACCCTGTACAAACAGGCTCTGATTACTTTTCTTCAACATTGCATGAAAAATATATAAAGTAAGTAATGATGATTAGTGGCAGAGTTGGGGGTAGAGTAGTTTTCTGCCCTTGGGGCCCCCTAGTGGGTTAATCTAGCCATGGTCCTGTGACTGGGCATGATAGCCACACTGCCTGGGTTTGAGTCCCAGCATAAGGTATGCACCTATAGTCCTGTCGCCAAGCGGCATGATTCATTGATGCACAATGATGCAGGTTTGGTAAAGCTTTCATATCAGTTTTTTCTTCATGCAGATGGAATCCCACTTTTGAAAGCAGATCATTGGATGTGAACTTGTAAAAAGTTAAAACCAGCCTACCAGTGCTAAAAAAAGATCTGGAAGATACATGAGATTTAGACAGATAGATAGATAGATATAAACTTTATTTATCCCCAGGGGGAAATTAGTTTGTAGCAGCAGCAATTTACAGAGTGAAATATAACTTATGGAATGCACAATATATACAGTACAATAAAATAACAAAGCAGATATTGAATTTCAATAAAAAATAAGATAAATAGAATAAAAAATAGAAATGCACAGTATGTACCATGAATAGAGTGGTATTAACTAGTAACTAAACAACCTGGACAGTAGAGCAAGGATCACCAACAACAAGCAACAACCGTGTAGCGTTGTTGTAGTCATGTGAAGGAAGATGATCTGGCCCGAGGTCTTTTATTATAAAGTCTTATTGCAATGGGCAGGAATGAAGACATTTGAAGACATTTGAAGACATTTATACAGACATCTGATTGTAATCTGTTAGCAAGCAACGTTTTCATCTTCACCAAGATGGTTTAGGACCTGTGGGGGCCTTGTCGAGAAAATTTATGGATTGGAAGTTCATTTTTTTTTCATGAAACCTGCAACATGTTCAATTAGAAGAGCATTTTTTTGTTGGAAAGATTTGCCGTCCTACTTTAAACCATGTCCATTGAGTGCACTAATTAAAGATGATGGATTTGTCTTGGTAAGAACTGGGGAGAAAAGCCCATGTTTTCTGACCACATGCAGGGTATACTGCATCCCCCAAAGGCCTGAATCCAACAGGTTTAGAAAGACAGCTTACATATTGTGTGTAAGTTCTTTACTCCTCTTCATCAATCTCTAGCTGTAAAATCCTCCTCTTTTACTGCTGACAGCAAACACATTTGTTTCTTATTCTTTTACAAATGGTTCTTGTCCCACTGGACAGTCATTAGGAATACAAAGTGGCAAAACACATTCACAAAACTTTACTTTGAATTGCAGTACAGATGAAGTTTTGAAACATAGAATCATGCTGTATTGCAGAAAGACATACGTGTTTCAGAACATGCAATGGTGCAGTAATTAAAAACAACAACTCGATATACGTATCCCATTATTGTTTTGTGAATGACACAATGAAGGAATGGCTGAGGAGCGGTTACATTTACAGTACATCGTATTGTATTCTCTATACCAGCTATAATGCTGATGTAAGGAAAGGTTTAGAAGAAAATGTCTATTGTTTTCCATTGGGAAACCTAAAAGACTATGGGATGATTTGGATCAGTGTGATCCATTAGAAAAAATAAGAAGTTGAGACTCAAGCAGCAAATGGACTTTTACATGCAGCACAAATACTCAACAACAAGTGGCCGAGTAAAGGCTGATAGCTGTTTTGGTGCTAGAACAAGACAGGGAGAGTATTTTTTGACTGAGGGAGCCAACTTACAAGCCTCTGCAGCAGAGTCAACACCAAGACAGGTTGAGAAAATTGGAGTTGAAAATGTATGCACAGAGTCAACATTTTGCCTATAAGAAATCAAACAAATCCAAATAAGGCAGACATGATTGGTTCTGTTTGATAAGTGATTGTCAGTTATTGAGGAATCAAGTTCCAACAAGTCTTTCCAGTTATGCATACAGTTTTTAGTGTTTGTGAATCCACCTTGGTCTACTGCTCTAATTGTTTATTTTTGTATATTTATTACTGGCTGCAAAGCTGATAAGTAATTAGATGTACTTGCATTTAAAATAACTGTTGAATATAATACAACTTTAATCTTTGTTGAACCTTACCAAAAAGCAGATGCAAGTGCAGGTTGCTTGCAAGGATGGATTTCGTAATAAATAACTTTTTGTACATGCATAGCCCAGCGAATAAGCATTATACTTTATCCACCATTGCAGCTGCACATTTGTCAGCTTTATTTTTTTTATTTGCATCTCTTCATCCTTACCCGCTGCCACCAGCAGCACAACCATCACTTCGCAGGCAAACAAGCCTTTACTGCCCGACATTGTCTCCATCCAGACTCCGCTGGAAAGGAGGTTGAAATGACGGATGTAACCATGGGAGAGAGAACCGGGGACAGTTTATTTACATCCAAAGAGGCTGTGTAAGTTAAGAGGGAAGCCGTTGCGTGTGTCTCCCTCTTTACTTTCACCGACCCCCTCCTCCTCCGCTGGCAGAAATTTATAAAGAACAAAAAATCCGACGAGGGAGGGAGGGGGGTTGATATACGCCGAGGCTGAAATCGAGAGGCGAACCCAGGGAAAGAGGAGTAATTTGTACACGGGACTTTCCCCCTCTTAGTCCCCCAAAAGGAGGGGGAAAAGTCGCAATATTGGAAACGAAAAGGAACGAGCTTCTAAGGGCGTGAAAACGTCTGCAATTGTGGATACTTTATATATTTTTATTTCGAAAAAATATGGCCGAGAACGTTCTGGACTCTGGCCCGCCTTCAGCCAAGAGGCCTAAACTCTCGTCTCCGGCACTTTCCGCCTCCGCCAGCGATGGAAATGGTAAGTATTATTTTAAGATATAATTTGTTACGGTGTTATTAGTTAAGTTTGTTGTTTTTTGGTGGCTTGGGTTAACTTATGGGAGGGAGAAGACGCGGGATTACTCTTCTGTTTTTGTCGTAGCTTGCTAACGTTAGCTTGCTAGTAGTGAGTGTGTGTCGGACGTGAAGAAGAGCTCCCCAGCTAGCTTGCATGCTAACAGCCATTTTAGCCGGAGGTAGCTCAGTTAGCAATTCAAGCTAACGCTAGGCTAACCGAATGCGGGTGCTCAACTGACGGTCCCGTGTCTAATGGCTACTTTAGCCGGGTTGATAATGTATAATAACTCAATACCAAGCCGACTTATGATAAAGTTGTTGGTGTCTTATAGTTTTGACAAATTGACAGTCAGCTACAGCTACCCATATTCTGTTATTTGAGTTTTCAAGGCTTCACGCGTCTAAAGCATTCAGATGTGTTGCCCCATCATAACTCAGACCCTTTCCCAACTAACGTTAGCTACCGTTGGTAGTGTTAGTCAAAGCAGAGGTGGCCGATGGTGGTAAGGCTTGCCTTGTGCGAGCGACACGTTTAGGCCCACAGGTCCGACTGATTGTTAAGCTCAAATTGCCATTGTTGGTTTGTTTTTTTGTGGATGGCGTGTGACAGCAGCTGGAATAGTGGCCTGAGAGCACAACTGTGGAGCATGGACAGCGCCATGTCTTGCCACTGCGATATTAACCAGCGAGACAAGTTAGCAAGCAAATACTGCTTCTGCTTCAAACATAAAACAGTCTATTTAATCACTGAATCATTCATTTTGGAAATGAACAGCTGCATTTTGGGCTGTCCACTAAGCTAAAGTTGTCTCTCTGGGCAGGTCGGCATCTGTGGAAAGGGACATTTACGGTTTAATCCTCCAGACGTTGCAAACATTTACGTTACCTTGCATGATATACCTTGAGTGCTGACAAGAAAGAGATCTGTTTAAGGGATGCAATACTCAAATTGATCGTCTTCTAAGAGTATTTGTGACACTGCCATACAGTGTTTATAGTTGAGAAGTAAAAGCATAGGACACTTTCAGAAGAATGATATGAGCAATTATTCCTTGCATAGTATTACTCTGTGCTTGTACCTCCAAAAAGCATCTTGTAAATAATGTTTGCTGCTGATAACTGATTTGTTAATTTTATAGATTTAGCTCATTAAACGTTAAGGCTGCAACTGCAGTTTATTGTCATTCTTTTATTGTAGATCCATCATATTTTAGCCTAGTCCCAATTCATTAAAGTGAAACAAAGGCAACTGACCATCAAAAGTGACAATTAAGACTAAATCAGATTTTGTACTTTAAGAATTAAATTTTTGGGGGGGCAACATCATGTATCTTGTTTGATTGCCCGAGCGGTGTGTTTTTTTTCTCTGGATACAGACTGACACAGTGAGTGTGTCGTCTCGACCAACCTGGCTCCATTTTGTGGTGTTACTTCTACATCCATTCATCACCTTGTCTGTACCAACCTGTCTTTGCCACATGTTGAATCGCTTTACTGTCCAAGGATTCTCTGTGCGACCAAGCCGTGCGTGTGTGCGTGTGTGTGTGTGTGTGTGTGTGTGTGTGTGTGTGTGTGTGTGTGTGTGTGTGTTTGCATATATGTTTGTGCATGCAGCTTGACACGTGCAAGTTCTTCTGGATCTCAATTGAACTTTAGTGCTCAGTTATGATGGTTATTCATTTCGGAAAATTGTTTATACACCTCTAAACAGCCTTTATCATTTTTTACATGTCAAGTATGCTCGTGCCATGCTGAAAAATTAAGGATTATAAAAGTTTAACATGGCTGTGGCCCTTTTTTATGTTCCTTTTCATCTTTGTCTCCCATCTCATTGACCCTCTCCACCTAAACTTTGCATTTTTTCTCCATTTTAGATTTCGGCTCACTGTTTGACTTGGAGCATGATCTCCCAGACGAGCTCATCAGCTCTAATGAATCAGGCCTGGTCAATGGTGGGGACCTCAGCCAGTTGCACACTACTCTGGGAGGGGGACCTGCAGGGCTGGGTCCTGGAGGAGGCAGTGGAGGGCCAGGAGGAATGGGACTTGGACTTGGTGGAGGCCAGGATGCGGTGGCCAAGCACAAACAACTGTCCGAGCTTTTGCGTTCAGGGGCACCCACTTCGTCCCAACAAGGGCACCAAGGAGCCATGGGCAGCCCGGGAGGCCCCAGCGCCATGGGGCAACACTTGGCGAACATGAAGGGATCTCCTGGCCAGGGGCCTCCGCAGATGATGGTCCAGGGGCAGCAGCACCTCTCCCCTCAGCAGCAGGCCAACATGATGCAGCAGCAACAGAATGCTGCAGCTGGAATGATGGGTGGCATGAACAGGGCCATGATGGGAGCGCAGCAGAAAGGCAATAACGGACAGCAGCAGCCAGGCATGATTGGGAGCCAGGTGATGAATGGCTCCCCCAGGATGGGCTTTGGGAATCAGGGGATGGGTGGCAACAGCAACCTGTTGGCTGAGACCCTACAGCAGCAGGGAGCTGGGGGCCAGGCCGGGATGAGAGGCCAGCAACCGGGAGCAATGAACAAGGTAGGGGCTCCTTCAATTAGGCTTTAGATGGCTTAACACTTCATAGCAACCGTTTCATTCACTTCTGAAATTGTGATGGAATTTATACAAAATACGAAGGTTGTAAATGCCATATTGGGTGAAAATCGAAATCCTGTGTTTCAAGTACACACTCAAGAACACAATGTTTTTCTCCTTAATAGTAATTTGTAGAACACGCATTATCTTCCATTTCATGCTCAAATCCTTTTCTTTCTGCCCAAAACGTTACTTTTTAAAACAGAAACATGGATTTATTCAGGCTTGTGCTTGGAGTTGAAGTGGCACAAAACTGCTCTCCCTTGATTGACAGTCCCTCGGGAGTGACAGTAAAAAATTTGCAGTGGAAGGCTGCTGCTGCTGCTCAATAAATGTGTGGAGACACAGCTGTTAGCCATAGAGATCAAAAGCAGTGGGAGGGTTTCCAGGTTAGGTAGAGAAAAGAAAAATGCTGTGGACCCTCTAAAGGGGGAACAAGGGGTACGGATGAGGACTGGATCAGGGATTAAAATAAAGTTCAAATAACTAATTCAGTGTGCAGGAAGAAAAGAGGAACTAGTCGTGTCAGATTGCTATTACACACTGCTCGCTACTACCGTTGCTTATGTGGCTGTTAACTTTTGGTTTGCACGGTTTCTAGATTATTTTTGATCATTTAATTACACATTACTTAATGCGGTAACCTGGTCAACTGATTTAGAAGTACATTTTCACTTTTCATCAGAGGGTAGCTTAATTGCACTTGAGCAGTAGAAAGCGCAAGTGGAAAACACAAGTTCTTTTGGGAGATGGAAACTTTGGCTTTGAAGGTGTCGTGGTTTGAAGAAATGTCCACAGGTCCCGCTCATTTAACAGCTCAGATTTGAGATCTTTGGGAAACACTGAATGATTGTGTTGCAAACCGCCAGAACGCAAAATACTGTTGCATGTGCAGCTAAAATGCAATCACTGATAAGATATGCGCAATGTGGTTGCAACAAAGCTAAAATGCCCGACGTGTCTCTCTTCTACCCTTCATATCTCTTCATCATTCTCACTAAATCCCTTTCTCCATGTTTTCCATTTTTATTGCTAGATGGGGATGATGGGGAACCCAGGGGGCCCTTTTGGAGGTCCATATATGGGGCAGGGGAATCAAGGTCTGGGAGGCGCAGGGCTGGGCCCTCAGCTGCAGAACAAAGGTCCTCTGGGCAACAGCCTGGCCCAGTTCAACGTGGACAAGAAGAACCAGCCCATGCAAGGAATGGCCGCCATGGTAGGGAACAAATATGAACTCTGTGGATAAACATTTGTAGCATGAGTTTTACTATAATTCTTTTACCAAGTATGCAGATTCGGCTCGAAATGATTCACTTGTCTTTCATCTCTTCCATCCTAACTTTCGCACCACTGTGCTGCTCTCTGATTTCCTTGTTTCTTTTGACCTAACTTACTCACTTCTTATTGTAATTTAACACCGCCTCCACTGTTCTTATACTGTTCTTCCTCTCCCCTCCCTACTCAATGGTGCCTTCTGCCTTACCTCTCCCTATGTCTTATCTGTTTACTGCCCTCGTCTCATCCACACCACCCTTTCTTATTCCCCCCTACCTCACTCACCAGGGCTCCCAGCAATCACAAACAGGTGTGGGCGGTCCCTCTGGTGCACCTGTGGGAGGAGCCCCGGGGATGCTGCCCAACACTCAGGCAGGTCTGGTTGGTCCCGGCGCCCAGGTCTCGGCAGCATCCGCTGCTGCCGGAGCACCACCCACGGCTGACCCGGAGAAGCGCAAGCTAATCCAGCAGCAACTGGTGCTCCTGCTCCATGCTCACAAGTGCCAGCGGCGGGAGCAGGCCAACGGGGAAGTCCGGCAGTGCAACCTGCCCCACTGCCGCACCATGAAGAACGTCCTCAACCACATGACTCACTGCCAGGCCGGCAAGTCCTGTCAGGGTGAGTTGAAGGGACGCTGCATGCTCCTGCACTCAGTGGATAGTTATATGTCCCCGTGTTTGACAAGAACGCTTGTAACAGAGACATTAGAGTATTTTTTCTTTCATGTTATAATCAACAAACCCAATGAGATCACAATCATCTTTGATTTATCCAGTTAAGAAATATTGACTTTGTCCAAAAAAACAACATTCACACTTAAGGAAGCCATCGTGTATCGGGTGACATATTGTTGACACTGATTTGATACCTGTGGTTGTCGAGCTGAGAGAAGTTAACTACACTGGCTGAGCTCCTCGTAATGAAGGAATATGTCGCCTAAAGCGAAGGTAAAGCTCTTCGGTAAATGAGGCAGGAGGCATAATCTATATCTACGGTTCTGGCTACACAGACAATACTTGTTAGTATGTTTGTTTTGGGGTAGCACTAAAAAGATAAAAGCATGAGGTAACTTTGTAACAGTTTTCTGTGTGTCAGCAGCTCTTTTTGGGTTACAGGCATCTCTAGTTTCATTTAATCTTTTTTTCTATGACCTCACTTTGTTTTGTTGTTGTTCTCCTGCCTCTTTCCCCTCCCTCATATACCTCTCTTTTTCCCAACTCCACCTGTCTTTCTGCCCTTTCTCATCCTCAGTTCCTCACTGTGCATCATCGAGGCAGATCATCTCCCATTGGAAGAACTGCACGCGACACGACTGTCCTGTCTGCCTGCCACTGAAGAATGCTGGAGACAAGAGGAACCCGCAGTGTGAGTGTCTGTATCTGACCAAATAACATTATAAATTCCCTTTTCACACGACGCCGTACGCTAAAATATTGTCGTCATATTATGTTATCAATTTTATTTATGGGATTTTGCAAATATATTAATACAGAAAAACAATATTGTGATGACATATAGCTTCACTGGAGCTAAACATAATCCACAGTGAACCAAATGATAATATGATTTTTGGCTGAGTTTTTGCATAAATATTCAGTTCCAGGTTTTTTTTTTTTATGCTTAGTTTTTTCCATATTCTGTTAAGCAGATCAGATGCATTATTGACACTCTCCTCTCCTCTCTTGTTATGTCCTCACAGCTCTACTCAGTGCAGCCGCTGCAGGTCTGGGCAGCTCTCTTGGGGCGGTACCTGGTGGCCAACCAAGTACTCCCAACCTCAACCCGCCGAGCCAGATCGACCCCAGCTCCATAGAACGAGCCTACGCAGCCCTGGGCCTCACCTACCAGGGCAACCAGATCCAGGCCGCGACTGCCCAGCCCAATATGTCCAACCAAGGTTTGCAAGGCCCGGCTGGCATGAGGACTTTGAACCCAATGGGTCAGTTCACTTGCTTCACGCTTTAGAAAGATGTACCTTTCCCTGTTTCTGATAGCACTGATGGTTTAGTCCAGACAATCATTTCTTTAAAGGACTTGATAGCAGTCAGGTATAGCCAGAAGGAACTTTCAAAGTGCAAGGTATAGAACCGTGTTGTTATTAGTAGGGAAACAAAAGGAATGCAAACTTATGAATTCCCGTCCTTTCCTGTGTAGGTACGAATCCTATGGGAGTCAATGGAGGTGTGGGGGGTTCCCCTCAGAGCCAGCAAGCCAGCCTGCTGCAGGATACCATGATGCACCTCAATGTGAACACCCAAGGGTAAGAGGGAACACCTTAATCAGAAGCAACTGCCATAGCTACAACTGACCAGGGCACACACATCTATGTTTTTAAAGAAGTTAATCTTTAAAATGACGCCCTTCTGCCTCTCCCAGTCTGTTGAATGATGCCAGTGGGGTGGGGTCCATGCCCACAGCAGGCCCTCCCTCTTCCTCAGGCATGAGGAAAAGCTGGCACGAGGACATCACGCAGGACCTACGAAACCACTTGGTACACAAACTGTAAGTATTAAAGAGGAGCTCCACGCTAGTTCTTTGCACGGTACATTTAATCACATTCCTGCTGTCGTATCATGTTTCTACAAGTGTTTATTTTTTCTAACAATATGTAAGTGTTAGAGTGTAGACAGTAATCGGCGCTTGGATTTTTAAAAGGTCCAGTTAAGCTGGCTGCCTGTCACCCCAGTTTGTGCCTCTCACACATAACTGCTAGTAACGTTAGCAAGCCGTCATAAACGCTGGCGGAGAGGCAATGTCGTGCATGAGGATTTTTATTCCTCTTCAGCGGCAGTAAAGTCATCTCATAGACCCGGGACTATATGTGGAGCTTGACAAGATATTTATTGCGGGTCTTGGACGGATGTGCTGCTTAACCTCTCCTTACTTAAAGGCTTAAAGGCCTTTTTGATTTCTGAATCTCACCTTGCGTTACCATGTTGTGAACTCCTCTATAAAGTAGATCCAATTTATTCCGAGTCACAGCAGGGTGTACGGGATGCTCGTTGTGGATTGGGAATGTTGTTCATGTTACAATTCATGTAAACTGTGAAAGTAAATAAATAGAACTCCGGAATAAAGACATTTATTGCAGACGAACCGTAACGTTAACCCCAATAAACACCATGGCTAGCACTATGCACTGGAACTTTCCCAAAGATACATGCACACTTGCCGGGTAATGCCTCATGTAGTGGAGCCGCTAGCCTCACAGGTAGCCACACAGAAATGCTCTCAAAGACCCTCAAATTGTCTGATTTGTGTTTAAGCAATACTTTGACTGAGACCAGAGTTAACAGTTGCATTTGTTTTTTTAACTTCCCTTTCTCCTCTTTTTGCTTTCCTTCTCACACCCACAGTGTTCAGGCCATCTTTCCAACTCCAGATCCCGCTGCCCTCAAGGACCGTCGAATGGAGAACCTGGTGGCCTACGCCAGAAAGGTTGAGGGAGACATGTACGAGTCGGCCAACAGTAGAGTAAGTTGCTCTCTCCTCTTCAGCTCGGTGTGTTACAGAAAAGAAGGGAGAGACTGCTGGGAAGTGTTCCTGTCAATTTGCAGCTGAAGCCAGCCACTCAAAATTTGTTCAACACAGTGTACGAGCTTGACTTGTGAATCACTTCAAGTTGCAGCAGATAAAACATCTCCTGTTTCTTTATACTGTTGCTGTTGGAGGTCCTCAAAAGCAATTACTGTAGTTTTATTTCAACAGTAGATTTACAAAGAGTTTATTTCTACTGCTCCTCTATGTTGGAGAAGTTTACTCCCTCGCCACATTTCCCTTATTTCTTTGCCCTCTTTTTGACAGGCTGAGTACTATCACCTGCTAGCGGAGAAGATCTATAAGATCCAGAAGGAGTTGGAGGAGAAGAGGAGGACCCGGCTCCAGAAGCAGGGTCTGGGCATCGGTCCTGCCGGTATGGGCCAGTCCCCCACTGGACTGCCTCCAAGTGAGTGGACATGCAGCATATGTAGACTTTGATGAGCCAATGTTAAACATGTAACATTTTAGCATCGCTGTCAATCTCCTGAGGGACTGCGGTTTGTCACCGCAGCATTATTTGTGTCATATTGTATGTCCTGATGTCCTCTTTATACTGCATTTGGTAGAATGTTTTTTCAACAATTTTCAAGATTTTGGTTGTGTTGTGTATCACTAGATTTTAAAAGAGACAGAATGGACTTGCTCATAGCTTGTTTATTGGACAGTTGTCCTACTTGATTGGAAAATGTTAAACATGAGAAGGGGAGTTAACGTGAAACCCATTATTCCTCTGTTACTTTTGCCATGCGTTACACCTTGTCCAGTGTTTAACAGTTAGTTTTGTCACGCTCGGTCTTCTCAATAGAGTAGCTTGTGTCAGTCTGTCTTGAGTTGGTTCAGATTTTACACACATTATTAATTAACTGCCCCACAGATCTTTTTTGAAAGAGACTGCATTTCCAGGTTGTTCAGTCATTAGTTGCTACATGAGTCCAAAGGACCCAGATCTTTTCCGAACAAAACCAACAAAAGGATGAAACATTCCAGAGTTTGGACAGACTTCTCCACACATGCTTGTTAGGGCATTTCCACCTCTGCCTCTCTCGTGTGTCTATAGATGACAGCTTGATTCACTAACTCTACTGTCTCTGTTCTTACAGACGGTCCCCTCCCTGACCCATCAATGGTGCGACCAGCTGGACCAAATCAGATGGTCAACAGGATGCAAGGCCCAGGTAAAGAACCGCTAAGAACCAGGAGACACTGCTTTCACTTACACAACAATAAGAAACGGCACATGTGCTCATGCATGGACAAAATACAATATGTAGTGTGGTTTCCAAATTAAATGTTATGTGTTGTACTATAACACTCTCTGTGTTCTGTCAGGTATGAATCAGTTCAATCAGATGGGGATGCAGTCTATGGGCCAGAGGTCTACGCCTCCTCTCCCCATAGGAGCATCTGGTAACCAGGTCAGTACTGAACACACCCAATTCATCACCTAGTTTTGCTTTTATTGTGCCCATAAACACAATTGAAGCTCATGTGTCAACAGAAATACTCCAGACTACGAAACCGTGAAGCACATTTCCATTGTTTCCACTCCAATAGAAATTCTAAATCCACAAGGACGAAAATCTTAAGCATTGCCACTCAAAATAGACGGAAAATTAATTGTTTAAAAACTAGCTAACAAGAATGCCGCTTTAACCAGTCAAATGGTTTGGCAGAAAAGTTGCATTGGCATTTTTTTTTAACCCGTGCCCTTTGATACCTCTAGATGGGAATGGTCGGACCCAGGATGGGGCAGTCTAACGTCAACCAGCTGCAGAACCAGTATCTGTCCCAGGGACAGTTTCCTGGCTCAGGACAAGGAGTTGGGACACCTCAGCCCGGGATGGCCCAACCTGGAGCACAGACAGGCATGCCACAGGTAAGGTGGCCTAAAATTATACAATTGAGGACTGAGTTAAACAACTTATCATGTCCTTGAACTATACCTTTTTAATTGACCCTCTTCCTGTGCACCATTCTCATCCGTGACCCCTCGCTTCACCCTCATCCTCTTCCATCCCTCAGACGCAGATGGGCACTCCTCCCTCTCTTCCAGTTGCTAGTCCTCTATCACAGCCAAGTTCAGCCGGTGGACCCAGTGGTGTCTCCGCAATGGGGCCCATGGGTCCTCAGAGCGTGGGTGGCGGAGGTCCCAACTCGGCTGCTTCCTCGATGACTCCACCTAACGCAAGTCAGCAACCCAACTCCATCCCCCATTTGGCAGCCATGCGTGGCTCACCCTCCCCTGCTCACAGTCGATCTCCCACTCCTCACCAAACGCCCCCCAGACTAGCCGGGTCCCAGACCCCACAGCCGCACACCCCTAATGCACCACAGCTGGGTCCACCTTCAGCCCCCCAGCAGAACCAGCTCAGCCAGGGACCCGGCTCCAACAAGCCTCTCCAGCAGCAGCACATGGGTTCTGGTTCGACCACTCCATCTCACCCTGGGTTGGCCTCCGGTTCAACGCCGCATGGTGCTCAGCTGCCACGCACTCCGGTCAGTGTGATTTAGCCCTTTAGATACTTGAATGCTTAAACATCACTTGGTCTTCATCATGAGACCAAACATTTTACCGTTGTTGGTGTCTGGGTTTGTCCCGCGCTTTGCCTGTTTACCTTTCTTTAAAATTAACCTTTTATCTCGTCAGTCATTTAATTGCTTTTCCACTGTCATGTATCACTATGTCTTATTTGCTATTTCCATGCACCTGAGTTTGTTTCTATGTCTCTCTCTCTCTCTAGTTGTCCCAAAAGGGTTCATTTCCAGCGGACAGTCAGGCGCTTACTCCAGCCTCTGTCAGCAGCCTGGATGCTTCCTCCCAGCAGCCACAGTCGAACGCTTCAACCGCCAACCTCGACTCGAAGATGGAGATCAAGCAGCAGGACGATGAGGACGAGAGCGACACCGGCAGCTGCTCCAAAGGAGGAAAGCTCAGTAACATCAAGATGGAGGAAAAGCCTGTGAAGTTAGAGGTGAAAAAGGAGGAGTGCTCCGGAGAGGGAGGTAAAGGGCTTCCCATGGAAACATCAACGACGATGCCGACGGCGAGCGTCAAGATGGAAGACAGGAAACCGGAGGTAAAGAAGGAGGTGAAGGAGGAAGAGGAGACGTCGGACTCGTCTACAACACAGGCGCCAGTGAAAAAGAAGAGTAAGGAGGACTTAAGTTCTTACTTTACTTCTGATCTCATATGCTTAGGGTTAGGCTTACTTTTGAAACAGTTAATTTAGTGTTTTTTGTCGTAGAATTCAAAGTTGTAACAGAAGCGGTGTAAAATGATCACTCTTTCATCCCATTCACTTCTCTGATCTCTATTTCATCCCAGTCTTCAAACCAGAGGAGCTTCGTCAGGCCTTGATGCCCACCCTCGAATCTCTCTACCGACAAGATCCAGAGTCTCTGCCCTTCAGAATGCCCGTAGACCCACAACTGCTGTGCATACCTGTATGTATCCCGTGGAGGTTGAGATGCATTTGTTCCTGTGCCATGTATAAACTGCACTGTCTCTGTCGGTGTTCACCATGTGTTCTTCTCCTCGCTGGCTTTACCGTCTTTTAGTTCCCTAACTTTGTGAGAATTTGTGCGCAAATCCAACATCTCCTCATCTCTTGACTGCTGTTAGTTGTGTTATATTTACCAGGATGTAGTTTCCATACGTCTCTGCTTTACTTGTCTACGTGACACGTAAAACTGGGCCAAAGGTTTTAACTGCTCAATTTAAAACTTGCCCATTGTGTTCTTTCAGGACTACTTTGATATTGTGAAGACCCCCATGGACTTGTCTACTATCAAACGAAAGCTGGATACAGGTTAGTACAGACGAGACCAGGTTTGGTCATTCCTGGGAAATATAATGGACCACGATTAAAGATGACTTTTTTTTTCTTATTACCTATATACAGTATTCTGTCTCTATTTTATTTGACATGATATGCAGATTTCTAGCCTGTTTATAAGAGATGCTCCAATGAGCCAACTGTGTGCAGTTTGGAACGTTTTTTTTTTTTCCATTCCATCATCCCGTGCTTTGTGTTTCGGTTGTAGGTCAGTACCAGGAGCCCTGGCAGTATGTGGACGACATCTGGCTGATGTTCAACAACGCCTGGCTGTACAACCGCAAAACATCCAGAGTCTACAAGTACTGCTCCAAGCTGGCCGAGGTGTTCGAGCAGGAGATCGACCCCGTCATGCAGAGCCTCGGCTACTGTTGTGGGAGGAAGGTGAGACGGAGTGCCCGATCAATGGCTAGAAGGGTTGAATTGGAAATGCATGTTGGTGAGGGACGATGTTATTGTGAATTTCGAGGAGAAAATCTCGATGTTAAGATGCTCAAGGGCAAGAAGGAAAGATGACTTGTTGATTTAAGTGTTATTTTATTATTTGACATTGGCCGATTTTCCTTATATACGCCATTGCACTTGTCAGTATTCTTTCTGTATTTTATGGGACCGCTTCTCCTGCATCAAGTCCAGATAAAGTTGCAGGAAGTGATGCCACCACGCGGTTTAACATTTTGAAAGTTTAGCAACAAACCCGTTGTTTTTGGTAATGCGCAGCATGTAATCATACCTTCAGGTGAGCAGTATCTTCCTATGAGATAGAGAGAGTGCGACTTTGAGAATGTGTCTGGATAAGGTGGTGCGTGTAAATGTTGTGAATAATGTTTCAGAAGTAGAAATTAACTCCCATCATTCACATCTGAAAGTGGCAGCAGTGAAGTGGGTTCATAGCTAAATTTGGCTTTGGGCATACCAGCTCCATATCACATTTCAATCCTCATTAGATTCTGCTATTTTTGGGTTTTGCAGGCAAATAACAAAAGTGATTGGCCATTTTTATGAGAGGCTGGTTGAAGGGTTGCTTCTGACAAAGAGACAAAGCAGAGTAGCCCTTGACGTTACAGTAGCTATAATAACTTTTTACAAAACTAAGCCTAACTTAGCTCAAGTA